TAATCTTTGACTGTACATCTGGTCACTCATTGACAACTTGCACTAGAACGTACAAACTCTCCACTGCCAATGTTACTTTTTGAAATTGTACATATGACATATTTTATACCTCTATTGTGCTACTACTACTATTCTTTTTACTGTTTGCACATTTCCTGCCGGTTTGCACACCCTGAGTGAAGCCAAATGTCACGTGCAGATTTCCCCATCGTGAGATCAATAAAGTTATCATGTCTTACCTTATCTTTCCTTCTGTCTCATAAATTATACTTTTTATAAGACAGCTGTAGCTCCTGGTTTGGGCAAAAGTAAAATCTAAGAGCTTTTATACGATTTCTGTATGCAACATATGTTTAAAGATTCCAACGTCAATGAAAATCAGAACAAAGGAGGATTTTTGCATGAATTTGGATGCAGCCAGAGCCTCGTATGAAGTTAGTTTAGTTCAGGTTTGCATTCCAGCTGTGAAATGCAGGTGTTGTAGCTCAGCCCCTGCAGAAATGCATCCATCAGAGCGGGAGCATCACAAACTCTCTCACATGTGTCCCTTTCATCTGCCAGAAAAGACACATCACTCAAACTTTTACAGAATCTAAAGTTTATGAATCATGAACATTAAAATTTAGAAAGAAACAACCTCCACAGTAAAACTAATATTTGAGTTTCTGTTTAAATGTTGAGGGAGAGAGTGTCCTTGGATCTTTCTTGGGTTCATTGTCAGAAATGTTGAGTGCATAAAGCTGGGGTACCTAACTTTTCAGTCATAAATAATACATTAGAACAAATCTCACCACTTGTTGCCCTCATCTTGATAGAAAACATGTAATCTTATGCATCCGTGTAAGAAAGAGCCCTGTGAGAGAGGCTGGCTCTCTGTTTCACTCTTCACAGCTTTGTATCAAGTCCTTTGAGATAACTGCACTTGTGATTTAGGGCTGTACAAGGATGAATTGAGTTGAAATTAATTAAGCAGTCATTTTGACGGCTTTTCATTTTGGAAGTGTAATTATTCCGCTTATGTACGTTTTTGGTCTTCATAACTTTGTGAACTTTTCTGTGTCTAAGGGTGCTTTCACACCTGCACCATTTAGTCCACTTAAAACGGAGTCTGGAACACTTGCAAGTACGGTTCGTTTGAGCAGGTGTGAAAGTGGACCAGTTGAATTTGGTCCGGACTAAAGAACCGTACCGAGACCACCTTAGGGAGCTGGTCTCGGTGCGGTTCCATGCGGACTCCAGTCTGGTTTGCTGCTGGTGAGAACGCAGACCGGCCTCAATATGGCCCTGCTCTGTTGTGTAGCTCACTTTTTAACACACACATTGTTTTTTTTATCAATCAATCAACTTTATTTGTATGGCGCCTTTCCAACACAAGGCCACTCAAAGCGCCTCACAACCCACATAGTATCACACAAATCAGAGACATCAATAAATACATTAAAAACAGAATAAAATCACAAATAATGGAAAAAAAAAAAAAAAATAAAAAAAAAAAAAAAAAAAATAAAAAAAAAAAAACTTAAAATATTAAAAGCACACACGGGATTAAAATAATAAATAACCACAATGCATTAAAAAAAAAAGAGTATGTATGTATCAATAGAATCCTTCAGCCGTATGCACAGCTAAAAAGAACAGTTTTTAGCCCCGATTTAAAAATTGCCAGAGTAGATGCTAGCCTCACATCTTCAGGAAGATTGTTCCAGATTTTAGCTCCATAAATCTCAAACGCTGCCTCCCCATGTTTAGTTCTGACCCTTGGAACCAGTAAGAGGCTACCTCCTGTGCTCCTCAGAGTCCGGGTCGGTTCATATGGGACTAACAAGTCGCTTAAGTACCCTGGTGCGAGGCCATGGAGAGACTTGTACACAAGCAGTGCTGCTTTGAAGTCTATTCTCTGAGCCACAGGAAGCCAGTGCAGAGACCTGAGAACTGGACTAATGTGGTCATATTTCCTGGTCCTGGTCAGGACTCGAGCTGCAGCATTTTGGACATACTGCAGTTGTTTTACAGCCTGTTTGGAGAGACCTGTGAGCAGGCCATTGCAGTAGTCTAACCTACTGGAGACAAATGCATGGATGAGAATCTCCAGATCTGATTTAGACACTATGTTTCTAATTTTGGCAATGTTTTTCAGATGGTAAAATGCTGCTGATGTTACTGATTTGATATGACTGTTAAAATTTAAGTCTGAGTCCATTATAACTCCTAGGTTTCTGACCTTGCCTACAGGTTCCAGGGAGAGAGACTGGAGGTGACGAATAACGCTCTCTCTTTGTTTCTGAGGACCAAAGACAATCAATTCTGTTTTGTCTGCGTTTAGCTGAAGGAAGTTATTTTGCATCCAATCACTAATCTGTTGAGTACAGTGAAGGAGTGATTCCACTGGTCCATGTTCTCCTGCAGTAAGTGAGACATAAATTTGAGTGTCATCAGCGTAATTGTGGTAGGATACATTGTTGGAGCGTATTAACTGACCTAACGGCAGCATGTAAATATTGAACAGAAGAGGCCCCAGAATTGATCCCTGTGGCACTCCGCAGGTCAGAGCCATATGATCTGAGACACAGTTTCCTATCTGAACCAAGTATTTCCTGTCTTCTAGGTAAGACCTAAACCAACTTAGGGCAGTCCCAGTGACACCCACCCAGTGCTCTAGTCTCTGCAGGAGGATCTCGTGGTCGACTGTGTCGAACGCAGCACTCAGATCCAACATTACTAAAACTGTGACTTTTCCTGTGTCGGTGTTAAGTTGGATGTCATTTGTAACCTTCACTAGTGCAGTCTCAGTGCTGTGATTGGCTCTAAAGCCGGACTGGAGCGCATCAAACGAACTATTAGTTACTAAGAATTCTGTAAGTTGTTGGTAAGCAACTTTTTCCAGAATTTTTCCCATAAACGGCAGATTTGAAATGGGGCGATAATTCTTAAGAACTGTGGCATCTAGACTCCTCTTTTTTAGGAGGGGTCTGATGACTGCCGTTTTCAGGGCCATTGGAAATGTTCCAGATGAGAAAGACATGTTCACTATTTGTGTGAGCAAAGGTAAAAGACTGCTCAAAACAGACTTAAAAAATTTAGTGGGTAGTACATCCAGGCTACATGTGGAGGAACTAAGGCTAGAGACAACATCTTGGACAGTTTCATTATCTGTTGGTGCAAAGTGCGATAGCTCAAACAGCCTCACCGGCTGTTTGTAATGTTATTTCTGCCTTGGAGGTGATGGCGTTTTTGATGCTCTGAACCTTGTCATTGAAAAATTGTGCAAACTCATTACATTTAGATTCTGAAGCAAATTCGAATGGCAGCTGAACAGGGGGGTTTGTTAATCCGTTAACTGTTGAAAACATAAGTCGTAGATTATTATTGCAGCCATCAATGGTTTTAGAAAAATAAATTTCTCTTGTTCTACGTAGCACCCTGTTAAACTTGCACAACTCATTTTTGAAGATATCATGATCAACCTGGAGATTGGATTTTCGCCACTTCCGCTCGGCCCTACGGCACTCTCTCTTCTGTACCATGACTGAGTCCATTTTAGTCCAGGGGGCCTTTGGCTTATTTGTAATCATTTTAACCTTCACAGGAGCGATGATGTCCAGAACATTTATAACATTGGCGGTGACAGAGTTAAACAATTCGTCAACAGTAGAACACAATGTGTTCTCAAAGTTTATCATTCCCATGAATAGTTCGGTTGTGTTTTCATTTATGTGTCTGTGTCTGACAATTGCAGATTCAGATATATATGGTTGTTTGCTATCAAAACACATGTCAAAAAATACACAGAAGTGATCTGACAGAGCCACGTCAACCACATTTACATTTAAAATATTAACCCCCTTTGTAACCAGCAGGTCTCATAATGTTTTCTATAGTACAGAACTCAGCTCTCTTTTGCATTTTTGTCATTGCCATTATCCAACATGAATATTAAAATCACCTGTAATCACTTAAACTATCAAAATCGGTGCAAACAACTGAAAGCAACTCAGTGAAATTATCCAAGAAATTGTGACAACCTAAGACTGCGGTGGCTTGTTGTACAGGACAATGATAAGAATAGAAGGAGATTGTTTTTGTTCTATTTTAAAAGAAATGTACTCAAATGATAGAAAATTAGTCCAAGGAGAATTCTGCATGAGAGATAATACTAATCTCTAAATAATGCAGCAATGCCTCCCCCCCCTTTTATTTTCTCGGATTTCAGATTCAAATTTGAAGTTTGGTGGCGTTGCTTCTATTAAAAACCGCATTACCTGTACTCTGGTCAAGCCAAGTTTCAGTCAGAAACATAAAATCAAGATCATAAGAACGGATAAAATTATTAATTAAAAATGATTTGTTGCACAGTGATCTGACATTAAGCATTGCAATTTTAAAATTAATATCTCGTAACAGTGGGTTTAGTTAATTGATTTTTACAAGGAGCAGGAATTAGATTTGAATGTCTAACTGCTGTCCTTCTGTTATGATTTTGTTTTCCATTCAAATAAAAACATTCCCCCCCCCCCCCCCCCCCCCCCAAACCCCCACCCCCCCACCCCACACACACCCACCCCCCCCCCCCCCCCCCCCCCCCCCCCCCCCCCCCCCCCCCCACCAAACCCCAAAAAACAACTCTCTCAACCCCCACCTTTCCCCCCACACTCATCTTAACCCCCCCTTTTTAACTACAAACACCCAATACCCATATTAATCCTATTCCCAATACTCACAAATCTATACAAAAAATCCATATAAATCACTCCCCACCCCACCACACACATATATCCACATCCAAAATTCATTATACCTCTCTCCCACCACATCCCCCCCCCCTTAACCTCCAAACAAAAATCAATTTCCATAACCCAATCCAAACCCAATATAAAAATAACACAACCACACCAAACACACCCAAACACCCAAACACCCAAAATAAACACACAACAAACCATAACCCATACAACCCCCACCTCCCCTTCCAACACCCCTTCACTACATTTACCCTCCACTCTTCAATTACTAAACCCCAACAATAACAACACACAAACCCCACCCCCAACACACCCACCCCCCCCCCCCACACACCACCACCACCCCCAAAAACCACCACACCAACACCCCCCCACCACCCCCCCCCCCCACAAAACACCCCCCCCCCACCCCACCCCCACACAAATCACCCCCCCCACCCACACCCACCCACACCCACCCCCCCCACCCCCACACCCACCCCCCCCCCCCACACACCCCACACCCCCCACCCCACCCCACCCCCCCCCCCACCACACCCCCCACCACACCCACCCCACCCCCCCCAACCCACCCCCCACACCCCACCACCACCCCCCACCACCCAACCCCCCCCCCACCCCCACCCCACCACCCCCCCCCCACCCCCCCCCCCCCACCCCCCCACCCACCCACACACCCCCCCCCACCCCCCCCCCCCCACCCACCCCACCCCCCACCCCCCACCAACCCCACCCCCCACCCCCCCACCCCACCACCCCCACCCCCCCACCACCCCCCCCCACCCCACCACAACCCCACCACCCACCAACACCCCCAACCCACACACCACCACCCCCACCCCCCCACACCCACCCCCCCACCCCACCCCCACCCACAACCCCCCCACAAACACCCCCCAACCCCCCCACCAACCCCACCACCACACCCCCACCCCACAACACCCACCAAACACCCACCACACCACCCACCACCACCCAACACAAAACCCCACAACCACACCCACCAACCCCCACCCACCAACACCCCACCCCAACCACAACCCACCCCACACCAACCCCCCACACCACCCACCCACCACCAAACACCACCCCCACACAACCAACACCACCCACACACCAACACCACACCACCCACCACCCCACACCCCACCAACCCAACACACAACACCCCACCACCAACCACACCCCCACAAACCACCAACCCACAACCCCCCCACACCCCCACACCCCCACCCCCCCACCACCCACACCCCACACCCACCCCCACCCCCCCCAACAACCCACCCCACCACCCCCAACCCCCCCCACACCACCACCCACCCACACCCCCACACCCACACAACCCCAACCACCACAACAACCCCCCACCCCCCCACCCCACACAACCCCAACCCAAACACACCACAACCCATCCACCACCCACTTACACCCATCCCCCACCCACCTCCCCCACACACCCCCCCCCCCCCCCCCCCCCCCACCCCCCCCTCCCACCCCTCCCCCCCCCCCCCCCACTAACCACCCCACTACCACCTTCCAAACCTCATACTTACCATCCCCAACACCACCACAAAACAACACACCCCCAACACAACCCCACCATCCACACACACCCCACACACACACCCACACCCCATCCCCCCCCACACCAACCAACCCTCCCCCCCCCCCCCCCCCCCCCCCCCCCCATAAAAACCAACACAACCCTCCCATCCCCCCCCTCACTCCCAAACCCTTCTCCAACCACCATCCTCCCTACCCCACCTCACCACCAACACCACATCCCTCCATCACCAAAAACAATAATTCAACTCAACCCAATCCCTAAATTATTCTACACCTACACAACCACCTCCAACCCATAACCAATCTACCATCCCATAAATCCTACCTCCCCACCCACTCCCTCATCACCTCCTTCTACCAAAACAACAACCCCATCACCTAATCCCCCCTCTCTTATTCCCAACCTCAATCCCAATATAACACTACCAAACCTAACATTTCTTAATATAACATTATATATATATTCCCATGTCTCAGGCTAATTTATGATTTTAAATTTCCAACCTGCAATACCTACCATAAATCTTAATATTAAACCGAACACCCACCCCCCCCCCACAACCCCACCTACCACACCCCCCCCCCCCCCCCCCCCCCCCCCCCCACCCCCCCCCCCCCCCCCCCCCCCCCCCCCCCCCCCCCCCCCCCCCCCCCCCCCCCCCCCCCCCCCCCCCCCCCCCCCCCCCCCCCCCCCCCCCCCCCCCACCCCCCCCCCCACCCCCCCCCCCCCCCCCCCCCCCCCCCCCCCCACCCCCCCCCCCCCCCCCCCTATATTTTGAAACTGATGCGAGGAACACACACAGTTTCTATTTGTCTAACATGTGAACTCTTTTGCTGTGTAAGTCCCGGATTCAGGACGGCATTGCTTCGTTGTTTAGAGCAGGAGGCAGCACGGTTCAGAGGCGAGACTGTTATTTCACTGCCAGACGGAAGGGGTCAGTGTTTGCACCACAGTACTCACCCGGTGCTGGTGAGCAGGAGAAGAAGGAGGAGGGTGGTGGTGGTGGGGGCTCCGATGTAAACAGTCACGCCCCCCTCGGGGAACACTGAATAACGTGGCGTAAGTAATCCGTCAACAAGCTGGTGCCATATCTATTTGGGTGCAGACCGTCTGGACGATAAGCCACGTGACGCTTCCAGAAAAGGCCAAAGTTATTCACAAAAATAAAGTTAAAAGTGCTGCATGCAGACTGGAGCCACATGTTGAGCGCCACTACGCGACTGTACAAGCAGTCTCCCCGGTTTACAGTCGGGACTGGACCAGAGATAAAAACACACAACCCGGAGGACTGGAGAAGGCGGAATAGATCCATAAAATGCTTCTTTGTGACCTCGGACTGCTGCAGCTTCATGTCGTTGATCCCCACATGCACGATTACCTTTGAAATGGTATCAGGCAGGGACTGAAGCAGAGGAGGGAGACGGATGAGCAGGTCTGGTACAGTGGCTCCGGGAAAACACTGAGTGGCCGCGTTAAAAAAGCGGACGTGTCTCACGATGGAATCTCCAACAATCAAAGTAGTCGGGGCGAAGAGTGGACGTAGCCGCGGAGAGGGCGCTCGGTGTCCATGGCCAGAACCAGCGGGCTCATCCAGGGATGAGTCCGAACCAGGGCGCTGCTGAACACATGGAGAGGAGTGGGGGTGTTGATTCTCAGCTCCGGGCAACCCACGCTGTGTGCTCGGGGACGCTGGAGCGGCGTGAGGAGCAGGCTCGGGTCGCTGCTGCTGACCCGGTGGAGGTAAGTGGTGGTGATGCACTGGGGTCAGAGAAGGGGAATGACCACTCTTTCGTCTGAGGACGGCTTCCTTTAGGAGCGTTTTTCTCGCAGTGGACTTAGATCCACGAACGGCAGAGTACGCTGCAGAGTCCAGGGGTTCTGCTGAGGGGGCTGGGATGTCAGTGGAGAGGGCTGCATAGCGGTTTGACAGGCTTAGGACATGGGCCACGGCGCTGGATGGCTCCTCGCAGTTCGCGGGTTCCTCATTCGGAACCGGGCGCTTAGGTGTAGAACAGGAGGGTCCAGAGCTGACAGACCTCTCCCACACGACAGTGTCACAGTATGCAGCGCTCAGTGACATAAGCCGTGAGTGCTGCCCGCCAGCAACATCAAAAAGTTTGGACACGAGTGACTGTTTATCCTGCAGCTCTGCAGTGAGGCGAAGGACTTCTTTACGGAGGTCTGCAATAGTGGCACGGTCCCTCTCACGAAGCTCCAATGTGAGGCGACTAATGTCGTTTATAGGGTTTGTGGTTATTGCAGTGTCGCGTTCCATGTCTGTGTAGGTTTAATAAAAGCTCATGACGTGGTGCCCTCGTGGTAGCCTCCGAGCTAGCACGTTTTCAGCAACACATCTTCATTGTCTCAGTTTGCTCTGGGCTCCAATTCACAATTCTCAAGAGCTTGTGAAGAAGTTTCAATAAAAAATACATTAAACTGTAACTTTAAAAAGACTTAAAAGCAGTAAAAAATCCATTAAAACGAGTTAGTCCAGAGAGAGACACTGCCTGCAAGATGTGAATCCTGCGGTTCTATTTCATGATAGAATAGCCAAAAACAACCGCAGAGTGTTCTCGTGCTGAATCTGTGATACATACTGGAAGTGGAACAACAGTATTTGTGCTGCACAAAGCAACGATGATAAAAAAAATAGCCTCACACTAGAGCAGCACAGTTCATCGTTAAAGATCTGACAAGTTTGTTTCCTTCTGGTATTCTTCCCTCTTCACATCCTGCACCAATCAGGTTTCACATACATCATCCAATACACAGTATTTTGTGAACAGCGCCACCACATGGGTGGCAGAATATGTAACATCCACAGTGGTTGGTTCATTTGCAAAAACACTGGTGTGAATGAGAACCAAACTAGTTGAGAACTGCAACATTGTAACAACTTTAGGGCCCAAGTGAACCATTAAGGGTGTGAAAGCACCCTTAATGTAGTTTATATCTATGTTATTATGTTTATGAAATCATCTCAATCCTTCTAGACTGGTCCTAGACTTGTTTTAAACTGGTCCTAGACTGGTCCTGAACTGGTCCTAGACTGGCCCTAGACTGGTTCTAGACTGGTCCTGGAATGGTCCTGAACTGGTCCAAGACTGGCCCTAGACTGGTTCTAGACTGGTCCTGGAATGGTCCTAGACTGGTTGTATACTGGTCCTGGACTGGTTCAGAGCTATCTCAGTTTGGAGAAAGTGTTTGTCACCATAGCAACACACTGTTTACTTGCATCATTTAGCATTTAGTTTTGCTCTAATTGATTTATATTAAACAGTTTTAGCATGTTTTAAAGATGTATTGCATTTTGAAATAAATGAAATAAAGTTTTTGGGGATTTTTTCCGAATTCCATCCAATTGAATGGGAGCCGTCAAAATGACTGCTCAAGCAGTCCTAGTCGAGTTTTGCAGATTAGCCTCACATGTGATAGAGAGTCATCATGTTGACCTGTGCCTTTCCTGTCCTCCCACGCTGCTCACAGAGATGAAAGAGAGGAACCCCTGGCACACGCCCCTCACCATTATCATTGCTGTCATTGGCGTCATCGCCATCGTTGCCCTGGTGACCATCGCCGTGCTTCAGAACAAGCCTCTCATCCCCAAGTATAAGGTACCACATCCCAGGGTTAGATTACGCACGGTAATGCTTTAGAGCTTAGACACACACGCAAACACACACAAACACACACACAGGTGGAAATCTCATTGTTTTGGCCATATTTTGGAGAACGCAAAAACGTTTCTTTTACTTTTTGTTTGTGGTTGTGTGATACTGTGATATTGTTGAATATGTTCTCGGACAAGGGGTCACTTTAGTATTTTTGTTATCACTGTGGCGAGGATAGCACAAGGCTAAAGCACTTTCCATGTGTATGCACTGTGTTAATATTGCTGAAGCATTGGTAGAGACAAATTAGATAAAACAGTGGCACAAAGTCTGAAAGGTCTGATTCTCTGATCTGTTGTTGGCGAATCGACAACTTTGTAAAGTCCCCCAATACATCACTGTCTCACTATATCTCCGTTGAGGATCTTATCAGGGTCAGATGAGTTGTTTTAATGTGTCATGTCAAAAATATAAAACACATTTATTTGGCTATAAATGACCTCATTTAGCCACCAACAATCGGAAGAGTTTTCATTATTTTAGATACTGTATGTCCAAAGAAATCTTAATATCTTTCCAGGATTACAAAGACTACACAGCCAGATAAGTGGGAAAAGTTACAGATATTATTTTTAGTGGTGTAAAATATGGCTAGATAGATAGATAGATAGATACTTTATTGATCCGCCGTAGGAGAAACTCAGGTGTCCAGTAGCAGCAAAAATGTAAATAAAATTGATAATTCTAAAAACATAATAATAGTAATAATCAGCAACAGCCTCAACAGATGAAGAGAGGTAAGAAAAATAATAACAAACATAACACTTTCTTATAATAAGAACAACTTAAATCTGACCTACCTTTACGGAGAGGTTGAAACTAAATATCATGAATGCATTCGGATGTAGATTTGAATATATTCAACTTTCCCAGAGTCATTTTCTCTGTACTGGTTTCAGACAATGTTTGGTTAAGTCAGTGAGTTCCCCTCCACAACTTTGTAAATATTATCTTATGGAAATGAAGAAAACTCACAGTCCCAGAGCTGTGTGGCTTGTTTAGGGCCCCTGAGGAAAGAGGACCATTTTTTTACATTTTGTGAGAAAAAGTTCTGTTCCCCCTAAAAGCCCCTTGTTTGTCAAATATCTTTCAAAGTCATTACACTATGACAAATCCCCATATAACGTTTTAAAACTAATATACTACCTTTAAATAATTTTGTGAAGCCAATTCTCACTTCTACCACTGGATGGAAGTCGTGCTCATTAAAATAATCCCCTACAGTGACTTTTATATCTGTGCGTCTATTTTCTACCTACGCTAGATCCAAGAGGCAATAGAAATTCAAAAAAGGTGCCCCCAGGACTGTGAACCGGGACGAAAGGGCTTTTGTACAGTCGCACACCTGGGATTTTGTATTGAAGAAGTCAGACTGCAGGTGGCGCTGTCGTCCGGATACAAAAACAATGACAAAAACTGATTAGACTTGATTTTTATACAAATATCTCCCTATGACTAGTGCTTTTTCCACTTCTCTTAAAGACGCGCTTTCGGAGCTACTAGAACAAGCCCTTACAGAGAAAAACTGTATATAACTTCTTTTTTACAATCAAATAAAAAAGCGAGGACTGCATCTTGTCCACCAGATCAAAGCCAGTCCTTTTCATCTGCTGTTGTGTTTTAACTGTGGGAGTCTACTGTTCTGTGCTGTGATCCCAGTCCAAAGTTCGCTATCTAAATACGGAGCTAGGTTAAAAAAACCTGAACCCGGACTGTCCCACTCCCGTATAAGGCAGAGCGAGGCACCAACCATAAAAGCATTAATGTTATCTTCTCCTCAAAGTCTACAAAGTCAAACAGCTACTCTGGGACACATCAGGCTGTCCAAGCAGACCGGCAAAAGTTAAACAAACCCACTAATAAATAGTTTCTATGGACCCATTAGCATTAGCATGAGGAGGTCGTCCGTAACCTTTGGGGTCATATGATTCTTGCTATGCCTGGAATGTTTCTCAGTGTGGTATTGGATATTCCAGATAGAAGTATGTTTTTGATTTGTTTGGAGTTCAAAGAAACCTAGAAATACAACTTAATGTGCGCATATTTTTTTAAAGTTTAAAACAAGAACGTGTGCAATCATTTGTGAGCATAGATCACGTTCTGAGTCCATTTAAAAACCTCCAACTTTTCATCTTCAGAAACGAGTTCTCATTCTTAAGTTTAGTTTTCCTTCATCATTTTTTCCTTTTCATTATTCTAATTTACTTATCTATGCTTGCTTATATTTTAGAGTTGGTTTTGAACAAGATATTTTGCAGCTCTTTGTTTTTTGTATACTGAAAAAACGATTCAAAATACCAAAAAACTTGCCCTCGAGTCAAAATACAATAAATATATTTATGGATTTATGGGGAAAAATTGAAACAAAAATGTTGGGAAATTGGAAACAAATCTGGAAACAAGAGGGAGAAACAGTTGTGAGCATAGATCGCATTCTGGATCATTTCAAAAACTTCAACTTTCAACCTAATAAAACTATTTCTCATCAATTAAGCTATTTCTCAAAAATTGTTGCACGCCTCACTATTAAAACTATAGTAACTGATGCATCGAAGCCTCCGATCATCACCATCGGCTCACTCACTGTTTTTATTAATAAACAGACCTATTGTACTTTTTTTTAGTGGTCGGGGAAAACCGGAGCACCTGGAGGAAACCTACACAGACACAGGAAAAAACACACAGAAAACTCCCTGCTCTCTGGCTCTGAAGCACAAATACTAACCACTGCGCCGCTGTAGAATATTAAAATAAACAGATACCAGGAAATGAAGCTGGCAGGTCTCTGTCTGTGAATCATCCCCAAAAGCAGAACACTTTTTACAGTTGTTGCTATAGACAAAGCTCAAAACACAATGTCACACAATCTCTCTGGACCTGGTATCTGTTTACACTTACATGGATTAGCATGTCATGTATAATGCATTGTTAATGGTATTTTCACATTTTACGATATCGCTGTGTTTTGGTCTAATCTGCTGCTATTGTAAAGCTTTTTCTCTATAAGAAAGTTATGAACAATGGAGCTCGTTGGAACGGATTACCAGAGGATTTTAAAACATATTATTATTTACTATTGTATCGAAGGCATAGATTACATATTGGATGTAGTTTTGAGCACCAAATATGCCTCTATAAACTTTTTGTTTTATAAAATTGATTGTATGTTGCTCAAATAAATAAATAAATAAGATTAAATAAAGAGTATCCTAATTATTCGAGTGTGCATGTAATTTCCTGTACAACAATTCAATTCATTCAATTGTTTATTTATTTCAAACTTGTGTATAATTATACAAAACAGAAAACAGTAGGATTCCAAATATGAAATTGCATTGGCTTTGGGAAAAACAGTTAATAATGAAAATAAAACATCTTTATTTGTATTTCACTTTTCAAAAACAGTGTTTACAGTCAGCCATAAAAACAGTCAATAAAACAGTAAAAATAATTTAAAATATCAAGGTAACCTGTATCTTCCATGGCTTAGAGAAAACATTTTCTTCTTCTACTGTTTCTCATGAGTGTGTTTTGTTTTTGTTTCTTCAGTATGGGATCGTACTGGACGCTGGCTCCTCTCACACGGCGATGTACATTTACGAGTGGCCCGCGGAGAAGGACAACAACACAGGGCGGGTAGAGCAGACGCACTGCTGCAAAGTCTCAGGTTTGGAGAATACGTATTATCTAGTATTACATTGATATTTCAGTCATTAAAGGAGATGTCAACTACTTAAATTGTATTTCATTTTTTAAATAATATATGTTTCTGACCATGGTGCTCTGTATTATCATATACAGTATTTAAAATAGTCCCTCCTCTTGGCATAACCACAACCAGTGAGATTTGCTGGAGGAGAACAGTTAAACCAATAACGGGCTTCAAGGATTTGAATACATTTCAACCAATCAGGAGGCTGCAGGGGTGAACAGAGGCGGGTCTAACCAGTGCTTGTCTTTGAACACTTTCTCTCTCGATCACTTTGCATCACAAACAGTTACAATACACTATTTATACTAAAGATTCAAAGAGGTCCAGTAAAGAAAAAAACACTATGGATGACTTTGCATTTAATTTGCTGAAAATTATGTTACTCAAGACAAAATACATAAAAATATGTAACAAATGTATTTTTTTTAAAAACATAAAAAATTAAGAAGAATTTGGACAGATATCTGGAAACATCTGGAAGAAACAGCTCTATACAACCACACACACATCTGTAATCACACGTTTTCAAGCATCAATAACATTTAACATAAGGATGTGTCTCTTTAGTTACTAGCCACAAGTTGTTGATAATTATGTGAAAATAACTGTATCAAGGACAAGGCTAACCTATGTGCAACTGTAGCATTCTCTTTTTCTGTTGTAATGAAATCTAAATAATCCACTTTGATTTCACGCCAGAGATGGGAGTTATATTATGAATGGGTCTTATCTCCGCCACTGCTGCTGCTATCTGTCTAAGAAGCAAAACTCTGATAGTGGCAAAAACACACTGTGATGTCCTGCTCCTTCAGCTCACTGGGAGTCACAGAAAGTATGTTTAAGATTAGAGTTTTTGTGCGTCTTCAAATTAAAATCAAGAGTGTTCAAAGGAAACGCTATCATTTGACAAAGCGAGACAGAAACCATGGCTCTGTTATAATAACTGGATAGGGTATTACTCGCTTGGAGCTGAAGGACCCATGTACCCGCGGTACTGCAGACCAAACGAAACTAAATTCATGTGGGCTACCCAGAAATGTTCCCCATAGAACTCAATGTAAACTAAAACAGCTCAACCTTAGCTGACAGAGAACCTACAGCTTTCATAAAGGTCGGATTTTGTGGGGATTTTAGTGTCTACTTTAGTGTTTTCTTTGTTCTTTGTGCTGTCGTGCACGTGCATGACAGCCACAGACGCGTATTTGGCGCAACGCATCATGGGAGATCGTCCACTGCACAGAACCGGGAGGACCAGACGATAGGCGAATACAATATGTCCACGCCCATGCCGGCACATGCGCCACTGAGCAGCACAAACCTTTCATTTGAATATGCCGCCATCTTGGATCGCCGGGGCTTGACAGCAACTGACAGACCTCACACAACTCACAAGGTCACTGTGCATCACCTTCATGAAAAAAGTCAGATCCTGTCGGACCCCTTAAGCTAAGCAGGGCAGGGCCTGGTTAGTGCTGTGATGGAAGACTTTTGGGAACACCAATGCTAAGCAGTTTTTGTGGCCTAAGGCAAGACATTTCATTCACATTCCCTAGAATAAGTCTGGTGTGTGTGGGAATGGCAGCGGTTAGATTGGCAGGTGGCACATAAGGGTTGCCTCGCTTCTGTCAGTGTGCTCCAGGGCAGCTGTGGCTATAGTAGTAGTTTATCACCACCGTGTATGGAGGGAATGAATTTAACAGTGTCTTTGAGTGTCCAAAAAAACATTTTTTTCCCATTCAAGTCCATTCAATCTATTATTGTATAGTCATCTTTGAGGACTTTTGCAAAGTTGTTCATTCAGCAACAACAGATCAGAGAATCAAACAGATCAAAAACAGGAAATGCAATAGAAAACACAAAGGAGCCATTGGATCAAAGGAAGCTGGATGACCACTGTGCATCAAAAGACAGTAGTAGTAGTAGTAGTAGTAGAATTATGTCCCAAGACGATGAAGATCAAATCTAAAAGTACAAAAGAATCTGTCAACGTTAAAGTCAGATAGAATCACACAGAATTTCGCCTTGGGCCTTCAGATTGCCCCCTGCCACTGCACTCTAACTTAAATCCAATGCCATTTGAGTTTTGAAAGAAAAATGTAACTTTCCAAACTGTCTGAGGCTTAGCTTTGCTGCTGTGTGCCTCAGGTTCTGGCATTTCGGATTACGCGTCAGATCCGAAGCTGGCGGGCGAGTCTCTTAAAGCCTGCATGAGGGACGCTGAAAGGTTTGTCCCCAGTGAGAGACACGAGGAGACCCCTCTGTATCTGGGGGCCACAGCCGGCATGAGGCTGCTCAAGTAAGTATGAGCTCAGAGTTGAAAATGTTTGGGTTGAGTCACAGTGACAATTTTTACTTAAACTTTTCGGCTTTATTTCATATGTTTGTCTGGTGCACACCTTTGCACATGTATTCCAATGTGGTTTTACTGCAAATGGCAAAGAAAATGAATCGGAATCTGTATATACGCTAAATTACAAAATGGGACCCTTTACTTTATGGTGATTTAGGGACAAGATAATTGTTATAGGATATGGTTCACATTTTGTTGGACTAACACAAAAAAGTATACCACTATGAACTTGGACCAAACAAAAGCAGGGAATGTCCCCAGTATTGGGACAGAAAGGGTTTTTTCAGCTTTGTGCTCCTATAGACTGGAATTTTGGACAGAAATTAAACTCCAAAGTCTTGTATCCACAGCAGGCATGTCCAAACGCAGGCCCGGGGGCCAATTGCGGCCCTCAGTGTAATTTCACACTGCCCTCTGCCTTGCTAACCCAAAATAGTCTTTGAAAGCATAAACACATGTTCACTCTGTCATCCATCCAACTTCATTTCAGCCAAAATAGACATGTTATAACTCATTTGTGGACTTTATATTTTGACTCAAGCTACAGGACACTTGTTTATTGTCAAAATAGAAGAAAGTGGCTGAGTCACCTTGTTGTGTCCAGTAAAAACAGTCTATCTTCTATATTACAACATGAAAATCTTGGGCTTATAGTCTAGTTAGTGGAGCTAGCTAATGATAAGCTAAGCTAAAAACACGCTCAGAAAGTACACAGTGGGTACATACCTGACCAAGTCGTATTCTAGCCCCGGCTGCATATGATGGAGTTGATCAATTGCTTCGGTCTTTATTTACCCGGAAATCAAGCATGGCATTTCAACCAGTGAAAAAAAATCCAAGGCATTTTTTGACACAGAATTTTTTTTAACATTGATTTTTTTTAACGCTGAATTTTAAAACATTGAATTTTTAAAAACTGAATTTTAAAACATTGAATATTTTAACACTGAATAATAAAATATTTAATTTATTTACATTGAATATATTCAATGTATTCAATTTCTTTCCTCTGTGTATTTTAAAACCACACTATGGGGTTCTATCCGTCTGCCCATTGTCTATTCCATATTCGTTCCTGGTTTGTTTTTAGTTCCGGATTTTTGTGTTTTTGTTATCCTGGTTTTTGGTTTTAATTCAATATCACTTTATTTTCAGTCACAGGACATGTGTGTAGTGTTGGTTCACATCAATAAGCATTATACCAGCAGAACAAAATTATATATCTCTGAAAAAACGTGTGTAGATTACAAAAGCAAAAAACGCTATTTCGAGCCTCGGATCAAATATCTTGGATTGACCACTATGGCAGGTTTGAGTTACGACATGCTGAGTTGGCATATTCCGTAACATATTTGCTCCCATATACATTTACCCGGCCTTGGTCATACATTCCCAATCGTAAATGCCACTTCATATTGACAGAATCCAATCGCATTTCCACTCCAGCCGTTTCCATCTGCCAAAAACTTAATTTATTTCAATGTCAATCCCACTCCACATACAGCAGACCAATCCATTATGCACTTTGCGAACACTCTAATTGATTTGGATTATCGATGGGAATTGCCTGAATGTATACATATATAATTCTTTATGTATTTATTTTTTCTCGCTGCAGTATTAAGGACAGCGCAGCCTCAGACCGTGTTTTCCAAGCCGTGTCGGAGAGTCTGCAGAAGAGCCCGTTTTCGTTCCAAGGGGCGCGAATCCTGAGCGGGCAGGAGGAGGGGGCTTTCGGGTGGGTCACAGTCAACTACCTGGACGACAGACTAGAACAGGTCAGTTTTTTTTAATGTATTTGTGAATAGCCCTAAATCACAACAGGAGGACTGTACAAAAGTTGATGATTCACCAACACTTGAGAAAATCAGTTTGAACGCAAGAAATTGAAAAAGAACCCACGACCGTCAGGCTCAATGGCCAATGCTCTACCAACTGAGCCACTGTCGACCCATTTAAAAAACCTATTAATTATAATTTTCTTGTATTTTTTATCAGTATGTCCAAGGCTTAAAATAGGGTGAAGATCAAATAGGTCTAATAAGCAATTATCTTTATGAATGTGAATAAATGTCCATAAAAGTCCCATAAAAGTCTCTTGCATCGGATTCGGCACGGAACTACTCAATAAAAAATAAAAAATCCCACATTGAGAGAGGCACAGACAGGCTGCGGGACACAGGCATTAGAACAAGGACTGAGGTCAGTGGTTTCTGGTTTGGATATGAATATTGTGAGTGTCGGTCAAACAATATCCTCATTTCCACTGAGTAAAACCACTAGTTTTTCATCCACAAACCCTGGGTCGCCGCCCCATACTCACTGAGCGTCATGTCATTCTAGCGGCTATATTATAAATACTAGGAGAAGCACACAAAACAAGTACAATTTCACAATAAAAATCTGCCGAACAGCGATGTCGCAAAAGGTGAACCACATTCTATCGAAGGACCACTTTATGTATATAAAACTCTCTGAACATACACCTCCATCTGTGTGTTTGTAATAGCGTTGTGAACTTGTGTGTTGCGGCAGGGCCTGGAGACCACCGGAGCTCTGGACTTGGGCGGAGCATCCACTCAGATCAGTTTTATCTCGGACAGTTTCGACGGCTCGGAATCCCCCAGTAACTACGTCGCATTCAGACTCTACGGCAACGACTACAATCTCTACACACACAGCTTCCTCTGCTACGGGAAAGACCAGGCCCTCCGCATGGCCCTCGCTCACCAGACACAGGTACAAGCCTTTAACTCACTACATATATTCAGACTTAAAGTTGAGGTACCTAATTTTTTCCCCATCAAAAATATTCCATCTGGTTTGTCCTAACCAAAAAAAGTCTTGTGAAATGTAGTGAACAAGTTAAACCACAGTTTGCTAATTTCATCTTGTCAGAAAAACATGTTAGTTTTTGCGTACTTGTACTAAAGTTCCCTGTAAGTCACTATTAGATAATTTGGGCAAAGATCTGATTGGCTGAGTGAGGTGGTCCTCTCTTTTCCACTTTTCAGTCTGAAAAAGCAGATTTAAAGATGTCACAGAGGCGAGAAAAAAGAGCATGTACAATGTAAAAGTATGTCAAAACTAGCTAGATCCAAAGCTAGGAAGTCAACGAATTTCATTGCATAGTTCTAGGTTTTAGGTGTCTATCGTCAATTTAAATTTTTCAGTTTATTTTAGCATAAAGTTGCTAAAGTATCCATTTGTTCCATAAGTGGGCAGTGACAGGTCCTTCTTAAATTCTGTGGAAATGGTTCTATAATGTAAAACCAGATTATCGCCTCCCTGTGCGCATAATCCAATCCTCGACCAGAGCGCGTACATCTGGAGCTAAGATGTCGATCCAAAAGGCTTTGATGCACTTTTGGAGGAAGCCAGGTTTCCTCTGATTTATATTTGGACAGAGCAGGCAGTAAGGATTTGAGAAGAAATGTTCTGCTTTTTCAGGTTTTAAATTATAGCATTTGTATCAAACTACGCAGCCATCTAACTGATTTCTTGCTTTCAAAACAGTTTTGAAAGTTCTATCACTGTTGTTTTCACATGGCTTTTTCAGACAGAAAAGTGAAAAAGAGTGGTATTGTGGTATTCTGAAAAAAAATGTATGCAAAAAAATTAGATCAGCTTTCCACCAGTTATTTATAAAAAGTTATTTATAACGGGTTGTTTTTTTACCTTTATTCTCATAAGTGCTAAAACTGGTGAATATAACTGAAATACAGCAACAGTTTGTTGAAGAGCTAAATGCTAAGTGCTAACAGTAAACAGTGTGTTGCTATGGTAACTAGAACTAGAACTGGAGGAAAAACAAGCTCAGCTCAGAACCAGAACCAGCACATTAAAGTTTAACAAGCAGAACTGCTCACATTTCAAAAATAAAAGATAGTTTCCTAAAGTCACAAAGTTATGAAGAACAAAAATGTACATATTTTGAGTAATTACACTTCCAAAACTAAAAGCTGTCAAATTGACTGCTCTACAAGTTCTAACATTAATGACATCGTTAAAAGCTAAGAAAGATCCAGTTTCTCTCTATTAAATGTTGGTTTCTTTCTCCTAGTCAGGCCCAGGATCGATCGTGGACCCGTGTTTCAACAACGGCTACAGCGCGGTGAAGAACTACTCGGTTTTGTACGAGAGTCCGTGTGTCTCTGGTAGAAAGCCCTCGTCGGCGCCTCAGACCTTCACGCACACGGGCAAAGGAAACTTCTACGAGTGTCAAGAGGTCGTCAAGAGCATTTTTAACTTCACAGAGTGCAAATACTCCCAGTGCTCCTTCAACGGGATCTTCCAGCCCACTCTGCAGGGGACTTATGGAGTGAGTATGGCTATAGTCTACATGTGTGATGCTAGCTTAGGTTAGCTTAAGATTCAGAAAGGAACATTATAATTGTGTTTATAGTTACATTGCATGAAGAATGGGCAACTCCATTATTTTAGAACATAGAGCCAGCCGACAACATGGTGTAGACGGATATTTATTGACAAATTCAATTCAATGCAATTCAATAAATTTTTCTTATTGCCTTAAATCACAACAGCAGTCGTCTCGGAGGACTTTCCAAAGTTTTCGACTCAGGAAATGGAAGAAAATTGATTAGAGAATTAGACCCTGATGGCCTTATTGGAAGCTAAAGTAATAAGACTGTCCCACTGTTGAGCTGGTGGCGGTGATGGGGAGGAGGAGGGTTGTGGCTCGAGCTGAAGATAATAGGAGAAGATTAGAACAGGAGAAAACTGAGGCTTCTCTTCTGTTCCTTCAATTCAATTTAATGTATCTAGTAGTTTACAAAACGGTTGAATTTGCCAACACAAATCAGAAAATCAAACACAAGAAATGCAATGATAACAAACACATTTAGCCATTGGTCCATAAGGAGAAGATTACCAAAGTCTGTAAATGTTGAATTGATTCAAACAGCAGTAACTTCATCTTATCCTCCTGCTGTATGTGGGACAAACACGCCTCTATCGTTGTGTAATATCCTGTAATCATAGTTTGTTTTGCAATGTGCCTTCTTGACAACAGAGATCTAACGCCTGTCTATAATGTATCTCTTGACGAAGACCAGACCTCAGTAAATATTTAGATTATAGTCAGGATTTATCACCAAAACAAACATACTAATACCTAATACGTCTTCACTCAACAGTAATGGAATTTTTGTTGTATTTCGAACTCCACTAAACCAGGTTAAACCCTGGTCCTTTGGCAAGAATTGGACTTTATCATTTTAATCATTTTTGTCATAACTTTTTTCATCTGTCGTAACTATTTAGAGCCAAACAAGCAGCGATAACGTCTCACTTTCTTATTTTGAGGGTTTAAATCTTTGGGCTGGTAACGTTTTGTGACTAATGTGAATTTGAAAGTGAAGCAATGACATGCCAACAGAATAAAGGCGTTAGAGGTTAAGTGGCTTTATCTCCATTCTCGTCCTCATACAAGATTACTTTGATTGTTTTGAACGCGACGTTAAAGTCCAGCTCTGTATCTTTACGGCGTTTTAATGGTAGTGCTGCTTGTTGACCTAAGACTTTGTTATCAGAGAGAGAGCAGCCTCCAGCAACTCACTTATTATCAATGCATTACAGTTAGATATTATTACAAGAGTATTTTAGTTCGTACTGATTTAAAGATGCAGTCAGTGATTTTTTTCCAGACCCACTCTTTTAAATATTGTGGAAAAACCCTCCCAAACCCTAAAAGTAGTAAAGTAATCATGTGTGTTTCAAATAGTAATGGAATTGGCCAGATGCCTATAGTCTCCAAAAATTAGTACAAAATATTTTGGAGCGGACCGATGAAAATAAACCCTAAAAATAAAATGGCTGAACAAAAAATGCCAATTTCACGTTTGCCACCCACTCTCCCTGTTGGGACAGAGTAAAGAAAATGCTGGATGTTTGCTTTGGTGGTGGGGTGAGGGGAGGGGGGAGTGGCTTTGAGTTGGTGCTACGGCTAAGCTAACAAAATTGCTTACTGCACCTTTAAGAACTACATAATTTTTTGTTTCTAAAATATATTATTAAGGCGGCAAACTCGATGCTCATTCAACTTTTGCAACACAACTTCTAATCCTCCTATGGACAAATGTTGATAAGGCTAAAGGCAGTGTATCTGGTCTATCCAATGTAACTGTTCCGTTCATATCCACCAATAAATAGATAAATAAATAAGAGATGGCTAAAGCTAGGCTAAATGCTAAATGCCTCACTCACTCCAGCGCAAAAGGAGTTAACCCCTCCGATCTGTTAAAAGGGCTCAATGGAGCCAATCCAGACCTATGGTAATTCAATTCAATTCAATATTTATGAAGAACACAGAGAAAACTGGTTCATAGATTTGAAAAACAAAAAAAACACACGTATACAATAAAACTAAAAACAGGTGTACAGGCAGGACCTCCAATGCCTCCATATGGCAGAGGAGAACCTAGCAGAGCTCCTAGGACAGACCAGAGCTTGGATGATTTGGTTTGACAGACTCACGGCTCTGCAAAAAAAAAAATATATATATATATATACTATGGGCTATATGCACGGGGAGGCGTGACGTCATTTCCTGTTAACAAGGAACAGCCCGTCCACTTCCTGCCTATGCTATCCTATGGCTTTTAGGTGAGTTTTAGTGACGTTTTTTAGTAATTAGATTGATACATTCAGCTGCGAGACTGACCCAAAAGTGTCGCTGTGCTTTCTCTCTGAGGTAGAGCTTCGACTGTGGCCACACAATCAATGACAGCACAATCAAAGAGCACTGCTGTGTCCCAAAAAGGCCCAGTATCCTCACAGTTTAATTCCCGTTTGAGCATTATTTGGGAAACTCGTGTAAACTACTGCTGAACTCCAGAGAAACTCAAGCCATATCTCGCGAACAGGAAGTGAAGTGGGGTAGTAGCTAAAACGCGGAAGTGGTGCGTGCATAGAGCCCATATCTGATGGACACAACACATGACCTCGCACCACAATTTACAAACATTTCACTGGCGCTATACAACCAGGCTATGACAAAAATGACCAAAGACATGCAGTAAACTACTATATGTTAAAAGTCAATTATGCCTCTTTATGTTTACGGCTTATACAGAACTAGCTTCTTTACACTTGTGTCTTGTTAAGGGAACGTTCTAAGCCTAATTCTCCTGCTCCTCGACCCAGGGAGAATGCAGACTCTAAACCTGTCTGTGATAAATGACCAGAGCTGGATCCTCCCCAGTCTTCTCTCTGCAGACACTGATGCTGGTGTTGCCCTTTTGTCTCGCACGCCTCTGCTTCGTCGCCTCAGCCACTTCGCTTTGGTTTTGACTGTTGTGTTTCCCTGTAGGCCTTCTCTGCGTACTACTTTGTGATGAAATTCCTGAACCTGACCGATACGTCGGTGCCGCTGCAGAGTGTGAAGGAGGCTCTGGCCCGGCTCTGTGCCACGCCCTTCGACACGGTGAGGATCTGCAAAGTCTAGTTTTGAACACAATTTATAAAAACTAAATTGGCTCTGCAGGTATAGAGGACTCCAACCTTATTAGATGGGAGGGCTACTTTTATAAAAACATAAATGGCAGTTAGAAACTCACTTTTAGCCGTCATAATACTATAATTGATACTTGAGTCCTTTGGGGAGCTACCTAAAAGGGGATGGCGAGATACCGGTAGCTCCCGAGCCTGATGTAGAGAATGTATTTAAATCAGAGACAGGCTTCTACTATGACAAATCCAGATTTTAAAAAAAACGTTTTGTCTCAGGCTGGTGGGTGAAAACAATCAGCCATTTAACCCACATCGTGAGCTAGTCTTACTCTATAGCAGTTATGAAGACGTTTATAAGCTCGTATTGTTTTATGGCCTGTTGCTTACATGTGGGTCAGGTGATAAAGTGACGGTTATAAAACTATACCAATACTTTGCATAAGTAACAAATCTCTAAATATGAATCTTAAACTTAGGCCGTGTAACAAGTCTGAAGCTTTTATTGTAATTTGAAATATGCCTTGTAATTTTAAAGGACTTGTTTTTGAAGTTTCAATTAATTTTTGTTTGTATGTGTTTTTTTTTTGACACATTCCTCTCTTTCTGCATTTTAGCACAGGTCAAAAAACAAGGATTAACAAATAATTTTCCATAGTTTGACTGGACTAAAACTACTCCATCTTAATCTATAATGCCCGACAGACACGGGGAAAATTATGCAAAATTGTCAAAAAAAACTATCACTATGACAACTATATAACTGTTATTTTTTACATTAAAAGTTTGTACTCCTCACTGTAACTGTATTCCAACTTTATCTTTTCTCTTTTTTCCCCGACAGTTAAAGAAGCAGCATCCTGAGGTAAAGTTGAAGTTCTTGAACGAATACTGTTTCTCCGGTACATACATCTTCACGCTGCTCACAGAAGGATACAACTTCACCTCAAGGACTTTCTCCGACATCAAGTTCATCAAAAAGGTTAGAAACACACTCCCTGTCCCTCCGGAGACACACCCGGAGCCAGACTGAAAGAAAGATTACATGGAGCCAGGAGAAAGTACATGTAACTATTGCATTGCTTACAGATAGTTCTCGTTTTGTAGCTAGAGTCTGTGGAGCAGGTCTCTCTCTCTCACTATGGACTTCTCTCACTTTTTTCTCCACTCTCTGTTTGAATATATGTCCTGGTTCGGCAAAAACTAAGGACATTTATGGACATTCATAGACATTTATAGACATTTATGGACATTAGACATCTATCCCCTATGGACCACTTCTATGTGTTTGTTGTTATCCTATTTTCTGTGTTTGAACCGTTTGATTCTCCGATCTATTGTTGAAGAATCGTTAACGTTGTGTGTAGTTTGAACTAGGATGACGAGTCCCTATTCACCTGATGGTCTGTGGGCTATAGACAAATGTGTATTTGTTTCAAGAAATCACTTTATGCTTACAGTAACATGATGACAAAGAATGTGTCCGCCCTACTCTGCCATCTAGTGGATCTTTAATGTGTTACGTGTTAAGAAAACCATTCAAAACATAAAGAAAGAGACAGACACACAGACACACAGACAGACAGACAGACAGACAGGCGGACAGAGAGACAGAGAGACAGACAGACAGACAGACAGACACAGACAGACAGACAGACAGACAGACACAGACAGACAGACAGACAGACAGTCAGGCAGAGAGACAGACAGACACACACACAGACACACAGACAGACAGGCGGACAGAGAGACAAAGAGACAGATAGACAGACAGACAGACAGTCAGGCAGAGAGACAGATAGACAGACAGACAGATAGACAGACAGACACTCACACACACAGACAGACAGACAGACAGTCAGGCAGAGAGACAGACAGACAGACAGACACACACAGACAGACAGACACACACACACAGACAGACAGACACTCACACACACAGACAGACAGACAGACAGTCAGGCAGAGAGACAGACAGACAGACAGACACAGACAGTCAGGCAGACAGACAGACAGACAGACACAGACAGACAGACAGACAGTCAGGCAGACAGACAGACAGACAGACAGACAGACAGCTGTCTTTACAAATTCACTGCGGCAATTTTGATAATAATCCAGTTTCTCTGTAATTTGGTGGTACGCAAAATGTAATTATTCACTTCTACCATTAGGTGGCGGCATTTCCCTATTCAGGATAATCTCTTTGCCCTTTATCCATGTTATCCATGACAGACAGACACACAGATAGATAAAAGTAGACAATAGTAATAAAGTTACTAACACTAGTCATAAGAGACAGACAGACAGACAGACAGACACAGACAGACAGACAGACAGACAGACAGACAGTCAGGCAGAGAGACAGACAGACACACACACAGACACACAGACAGACAGGCGGACAGAGAGACAGAGAGACAGATAGACAGACAGACAGTCAGGCAGAGAGACAGATAGACAGACAGACAGATAGACAGACAGACACTCACACACACAGACAGACAGACAGACAGTCAGGCAGAGAGACAGACAGACAGACAGACACACACAGACAGACAGACACACACACACAGACAGACACTCACACACACAGACAGACAGACAGACAGTCAGGCAGAGAGACAGACAGACAGACAGACACAGACAGTCAGGCAGACAGACAGACAGACAGACACAGACAGACAGACAGTCAGGCAGACAGACAGACAGACAGACAGACAGACAGCTGTCTTTACAAATTCACTACGGCAATTTTGATAATAATCCAGTTTCTCTGTAATTTGGTGGTACGCAAAATGTAATTATTCACTTCTACCATTAGGTGGCGGCATTTCCCTATTCAGGATAATCTCTTTGCCCTTTATCCATGTTATCCATGACAGACAGACACACAGATAGATAAAAGTAGACAATAGTAATAAAGTTACTAACACTAGTCATAAAGTACAACAGCACTTTAGGTGATGTAGTATCATCTTTATTAGTATATTTCATCCATCCATCCATCCATCCATTTTCTTCCGCTTTATCCGTTGCCGGGTCGCGGGGGCAGCAGTCTAAGCAGAGACGCCCAGACTTCCCTATCCACACACACTTCCTCCAGCTCGTCCGGGGGGACCCCAAGGCGTTCCCAGGCCAGCTGAGAGACATAGTCCCTCCAGCGTGTCCTGGGTCTTCCGCGGGGCCTCCTCCCGGTGGGACGTGCCCGGAACACCTCCCCAGGGAGGCGTCCAGGAGGCATCCGGAACAGATGCCCGAGCCACCTCAACTGGTTCCTCTCGACGTGGAGAAGCAGCGGTTCTACTCCGAGCTCCTCCCGTGTGACTGAGCTCCTCACCCTATCTCTAAGGGAGCGCCCAACCACTCTGCGGAGGAAGCTCATTTCGACCGCTTGTATCCGCGATCTCGTTCTTTCGGTCATTACCCAAAGCTCATGACCATAGGTGAGGGAGGGAACGAAGATTGACCGGTAAATCGAGAGCTTTGCCTTTCGGCTCAGCTCCCTCTTCACCACAACGGTCCAATACAGCGACCGCATAACTGCGCACGCTGCACCGATCCGCCTGTCAATCTCACGCTCCATTCTTCCCTCACTCGTGAACAAGACCCCGAGATACTTGAACTCCTCCACTTGAGGAAGGACCTCTCCACCCACCTGCAGAGGGCAAGGCACCTTTTTCCGGTCGAGCACCATGGCCTCAGATTTGGAGGTGCTGATTCTCATCCCAGCTGCTTCACACTCGGCTGCAAACCGTCCCAGTGCATGCTGCAGGTCCTGGTTCGTTGGAGCCAACAGGACAACATCGTCCGCAAACAGCAGAGATGAAATCCTGTGGTCTCCGAACCGGACCCCCTCCGACCCCTGGCTGCGCCTAGATATTCTGTCCATACCGGCCTACGGTGTCCTGGTGCCACGTGCACTGGTGGACACCCTTGTGCTCGAACATGGTGTTCGTGATGGACAAACCGTGACTGGCACAGAAGTCCAACAACTGAGCACCGCTCGGGTTCAGATCAGGGGGGCCGTTCTTCCCGATCACCCCTCTCCAAGTGTCACTGGCATTTCCCACATGGGCGTTGAAGTCCCCCAGGAGAATAACGGAGTCCCCGGGCGGTGCACCGTCCAGTACCCCTCCCAAGGACTCCAAGAAGGCCGGGTACTCTACACTGCTGTTAGGCCCGTAGGCCGTCACAACAATGAGAGACTTGTCCCCCACACGGAGGCGGAGGGACGCGACCCTCTCATTCACCGGGGAGAACTCCAACACGTGGCGGCTGAGATGGGGGGCAATGAGAATGGCCACCCCAGCTCGCCGCCTCTCCCCGCGGGAAACTCCAGAAAAGTGGAGCGTCCAACCCCTCTCAAGGAGTTGGGTTCCAGAGCCCAAGCTGTGTGTGGAGGTGAGGCCGACTATCTCTAGTCGGTATCGCTCAACCTCCCCCACGAGCTCGGGCTCCTTCCCCCCCAGTGAGGTGACGTTCCACGTCCCAAGAGCCAGATGTTGTGTGTGTGGACTGGGTCGCCGAGGTCTCCGCCTTCGACTGCCGCCCAGTCCTCTCAGCACCGCTTCACCACGGACCCCTCTGCAGGTGGTGGGCCCACAGGAGGGACTGCCCACGTCATCCCTTCGGGCTGAGCCCGGCCGGGCCCCGTGGGCTAAGGCCCGGCCACCAGGCGCTCGCATACGGGCCCCGACCCCAGGCCTGGCTCCAGGGTGGGGCCCCGGCTGCGCCGTGCCGGGCGACGTCACTGTTTTCATATTAGTGTTGTCCATGGTGTCTTCTGGACTGCTCTTTGTCTGACTCGTCACCTGAGACCTGTCTGCCATGGGAGGCCCTACCAGGGGCATGAAGCCCCAGACAGCATAGCTCCCAGGATCATCCGAGTACTCAAACTCCCCCACCACGTTAAGGTGGCAGTCCAGGGGGGAGTATATTTCATAATAATTATATTTTAAACAGTCCCTCTCTTTGGCATAAGGATTTGAATTCAGTGCATCCAATCAGGAAGCTGTGGGGGCGGGTCTAACTGGCGCTTGCATTCAAAATAGGTCCCTCCTCACAAACTATGACTTCAACATATGTAAAACAATAGTAATTCAAATTAAGATATACAATTATGGAAGAAAAGAGCTGTTTCTGTGAGTTTTGTGTGTCTCATGTTTGTGTGTGTTCTGCAGATCAAAGGCAGTGACGCGGGCTGGACTCTGGGCTACATGCTGAACCTGACCAACATGATCCCGGCCGAGGCTCCGGACACGCCGCTCCTCCCTCACGCCGGCTACGTCTCGGTCATCACCGTCATTGCCCTGGTGCTCTTCGTCCTCTTCATCCTCAGCCTGCGTCCGCTCTGGCCCCGCTGCTCACAGAAACCTCAGATTGTATAAAAACCACTATACTTACGCACTGCGGAATGAACAAGCTAGCTACAAATGAGATTATCTGAACTGTTATGGGAAATGCAATATGTTTTAGCACTTGGAGTCATTTCTGTGCTAGAAACCCATCCATCCATCCATTTTCTACCCTTTAATCCATTTCTGGGTCGGGGGGGTGGCAATCAGAGATAACACCCAAGTCTCATAGCACCAGCCCCTCACTGATCCTCTGCAGGTGGTGAGTCCACAGGAGGACGGCTGCTCTCTGAGGCCCTGTTTATACTGAGACGCTGCGCAGACGTTTCCAGGCTATTAACAGAAACGACCAGGCTCCTAATGCAAATTTCTCAGCGTTCACATGAGGTTGAAAAACGATGTAGTTCTAGCGCCCGGCCAATAGTGGGCAGAAAAACTTTACAACACGACACACGACCCCCAGCCCCGTGCCCAGCAGTATATTCACTTCCTGTGCCAGACCCTCAGAAAGTACCAACATCATTCTGCATTTTAACAGCAGCTGTGAAAATGGAAACTGAACCTAGAGCTTCGCGTGGTCTCGTATGGACGAACGAAGGAGTAGAATTATAGATAAATTAAACCAAACAGGGCTATTGTTTCAATTGAATAAAAGTTGAGGTATCTAACTTTTAAACAACACTAGTTTTCACATTAATGTGTTTTTGGCTTCTTTCACATCTTTAGAAAGTGAAATAGAAAGAGGACCACACCCAACTCAGGCAAACAGCTTTCAACCCCAAAATGTCACATTTTGACTCACAGGGCCATCCCTTTGACAAAACATAGTCACAAAATTGTAACTTGTAAAACATAAAAGATTGTCTTTTTCATTTCACTTCAGTTTTATGTAAGTATTATGTGTGCAGGTTTCGAAATAAAACAAGCTGAAGGAACAGAGGATCTTAAAACATAGAGCCATTGTTCCTTAAGCAGCAGACGACCAATATCCGGGAGAGAAAAGTTGGGTACCTAAACTTTCCTTTTCTCGTCTCAGTCATCATACCGTTACGGAAGCTTGTTAGGTTCACTTGTGAGTGTGTTTTTTTCCCGCTGGTATCATGTTATTTTATGATACACAACTATCATGTTATTTCATGATACACAACTATCATGTTATTTCATGATACACAACTATCATGTTATTTCATGAAACACAACTATCATGTTATTTCATGATACACAACTATCATGTTATTTCATGATACCAATTTATCATGTTATTTCATGATACCAATTTATCATGTTATTTCCTGATACACAACTATCATGTTATTTCATGATACACAACTATAATGTTATTTCATGATACCAATTTATCATGTTATTTCATGATACCAATTTATCATGTTATTTCCTGATACACAACTATCATGTTATTTCATGATACACAACTATAATGTTATTTCATGATACCAATTTATCAGAAGAAGCTGACAGCTTCTTCTTCTTCTGTATCTACAGTATCATGTTATTTCATGATAAACTGGTATCATGAAATAACATGATAGTTGTGTATCATGAAATAACATGATAGTTGTGTATCATGTTATTTCATGAAAGTATCATGAACTAACATGATGCCAGCGAAAAAAAAAACACACTCACAAGTGAACCTAACAAACTTCTGTATACCGTCCATATATCCATCCATGTAGCAATATTTAAAAATGTGATAATCCCCTCTTTGTAAACAGATTTATGACAAATGATCTCAAGTCAAATCAATGCTATGGATTGAAACATAAATATTTATAAGTTGAGCTAGCTTGTCCATTCCGCGGTGCTATATCTCGTGCATGTAAGAGGAGCGTATGGACTTTTTAAAAAAACGGCATTCCTCGGAGAACAGACGCAGTGAAAAAGGCATTTTATTTCCACATCCTGAGGTCATTGTGCAGCTGCAGGAACTCTTATTGTGAAGGACTGTTTTATTCTGAAGGACGTTACGTTGTGTGTGTGTGAGTGAATGAGCGCACGACTGTAAATATATTGAGTGTACCAAAAAACCTCCGCATGTTTATGTCATGAAATATAATGTGAATAAATAAAGTCATCCCAGTTTATATAAACATCGTTTCGTAAAGAATTAGTCTATTTTTGTTAAATATATCTAACTGTTCAACGCTTTTGAGACATGTATGGTACACGTATGGACACTAGATGGCAGTATTTGCATCTTAAATATGTGCAAACTAAAGGTCCCATATTTTATTTACTCTTCTTTCTTATTTTTCACAGTCATGAAGCACATGTGTGATAATCATTTGGTGCACCATACAACACGCAAAACTTTCCCCAACACACTTTTAGTCAGGGATAATAGCAGAAAAGCAGATGCAGGGTTTTATTTCTTCCCCTGTCAATCACTTTTGAAGGCGGGCTTGAGGGAATCAATGAGAAAACTATATGAAGGCCAAATAGCACTGTAAAATAAATGCAAGCAGAGAAAAATCAAAAAGCGTAATATGGGACCTCTAAAATTAAAGGTTGATGAAAAATCTAGATCCAGCATCTATTTGGAGAAACTTTTGACTACATTAGAATAAGACTTGCCAAATAGTAAATAGTATGCAGATATCTTGTTTTGTCAATTCTCACTCATTTAAATAGGTCCGGTGCAAACTGTGGGCTGGGGGCCACATGCGGGCCCCGTTGCTCATGTTTCTCTGTGGTCCATGGATCCCTCCAGACGTTAGCCTCACCACTTTCCCCTTTAATGAAGGATTGGTCATAAGAATGTGATTACTTCTCCTGTTGTTCTTTAGATTGTTTTGTTCATCAAATAAATAACGCTATAACTGAAGTAGCTTTCACAGAGAATAAAAAATACTATGTTTTGTCAAGTTAAATGGAATGGTAACAGCATGAAAAAAGGTCCGGCCTTCCACATTATGATGATAACCTGATGTGGCCCCGAGACAAAGGCATTGCCCACTCCTGATTAAAATGACACTTAAATGATGGAAGATTTACAATTTGCAATTTATTTAACTTTATTCTGAATAAATCAGAAACTTTTGCAAACCAGCATTGGTAAAACCATTAGCATATTTACACAGCATTTTACAAACTTTCAAAGCACTTTTAAGTTATGCAAGTTTTCTTTAGACACTTTAAGAAGTTACAAACTAAATACTGGAATATGATTTAGAATGTAGAAAAACTACTATATGCTGCAAAACATGACAAAAAGGGAAAATAGGAGAAAAAAAGTTTTTATTTTCCTTAAACAACATTTGCCATAGGTACAAGCAACATGTCGTGACAAGTGAATTCTCAGTTGGAATCAGAAGAACTACGTTTCTACATGTCCCTGTGCTTCTCCATCCATCACTAAACCAATAAATTAATAATACTTATGAAGGCGTTAGACATTTGCAGAGCGTCACAAAACCTACAATAGTTTCCCTTCTGCTCCTATGTTAAACAATACAGTAAAAGGCTTCACAGACGTCTTCCTTGACCAGGTCTTTGGCCAAAACATAATCTGAAGCGTGATACATTGCTACAAAAACATACAACAATAAAACTATAATATTTCAACTATTTGATGCCACCGAAAAGCAGCAGTAACATAATCCCCATGTTGATTTAGACATTATTTATCAGCTAAATTCAAAACTCTGCAGCTAAAACAGTCGTAATAATTATCAAATAAAAAGTCCAAATGGATCCTACAGTGTGTAGGATGCTGCCCTCTATGGGTATTAGAACAGCATTGCAAGTTGTCCAATAATGACTTCTTATAAAAGTGATTTATCGGCTCTGCACGTTCTTCCGTTCATTATTTTTAACACTAACTAAAACTACTTTTAGATTCTTAAATGTGAGAATCAAAGTTAATGCAAAATAATTAGAATAGGAGGTCAAATAAATGGAAAAAGTAAATAATCAGAGAATTACATGCAATTCAGAATATTTTGTTTAAAGCTGGTGTACCTAACTTTAAAACTACAAAAAATTCTAACTGTTGGCAAGTAAACAATGTGTTTCCATGGTAACTAGCACTGGGTCTAGTGGAGAACAAAGGTGACTCGGCTCCGAACCAGAATCAGAACCAGTCCAGAACAAGTCAACGACCAGTCCATAGTCCAAAACCGGTCCAGGACTAGCATCATGAAAAGGGGATTTAACTGCCATGGAAAGTTGGTTACCAAGCAACCGTAAATGGCTACATTTGAATTCTAGTCAAAAGGTAAACTCACATTTTTTCACAAAATTGAGGTCTCAGGTGGTGAACAGGCTAAATACAGCCACAGCCCTAATAATAACAACTTCCACTTTCTTACACGGCACCAAGTTTCCGTCAGTCGTGTCAGTAGTGATTTCCCTGGTTTCCCTGAGCAAACAATACTGATTACAACACGGCAATAAAAGTGAACGGCCGTCGCCTGTCGCCACAACAGTTATGGCAAAGGGAAGCTCGGTCCCACAGCCCTTTCCTCCAAATCTGACTCGAGAATCAAGATGAATGTGTTTTTGTTCTCTACGTGTTTTGTTTAGGACTGTTTATTTACTTTGGCACACATTTGAGGGAGTAGCTAACCACATGTACCGATAGAATTACCCTACCCTACTCTACTCTATTCCACTCTACCTTACCCTACCCTACCCTACTCTTCTCTATTCCACTCTACCTTACCCTACCCTACCCTACTCTACTCTACCCTACCCTACTCTAACCTATCCTTCCCTACTCTACTCTACCCTACCCTACCCTTCCCTGCTCTTCTCTTCTCTACCTTACCTTACCCTACCCCACTCTACTCTACTGGGGTCGCACTCTTGGGCCTCTCGCACACCATGGTTAATCAGTGATTGGATATGGCTGTCTACCTGGATTTTGCAAAAATAACTTCCTGGTATTCTGTCTGGTCAGATGTAAAGTTATTTACTGCATGGATGGTGTTTTTCTAACTGTTTATGTTCCACGGTCATATGAGCCTGAACTTGTGAGTTTTGCTCCCTATGTATTATGACCCCGATCAAAAGCTTAGGGTCATAATACTTCCCCTTTAACCTAAGACTTATGACAGCTTTTGAGTCCTCGGTGGTATTTTTGGATGAGATTCTGCATCCTCTCTGTTGGTAAAGCTGCCCATTCTGCTCGACAAATAAGCTGCAGTTCCTGTACATTCCAAGGCCACCTCGGATGTTTGAGATCTCCACAGAACAACGAGATTATGTTAAAATCATTAATAGAAAGCACATTTATTTATCAATGGGTTGAAATAAATACCAAATGCTAACTGCTGGCAAGTAAATAGTTTGTTGCCATGGTAACTAGTGCTGGCTCTGGTAGGAAACCAAGGTAATTCATCTCAGAACCAGTCCAGTCCCCGCATGTTTCAGATATCCACAGAACAACGCAATTGTAAAAATATTTAAATAGAAAACATGTTTATTTGACAATGGGTTCAAACAACTACTTTTTGTGTTTTAATTTGAAAACTCTAAAATATGGCCAAAACATGAAATCTAAGGGTGGGAATGTAAAGCACAAACTTATTCTGTTTAATATTCTGTATTATGATGAAGAAAACTGCATCTGTCATTTTGTATTTTCCATAATTAAATATATAAAAAAAAAAAAAGTGTCTATAAAAACGGTATACTCTACTCTACTCGACAACCAGGTAAAGCAACCTACCTAGCAACCTAAAACAAAACAAAACAACGTATATAGGGATATTCCTTGGTAACCATGGTTTCCAGCAACACCAAGCACTGTCAGTTAGAACGCTTTGGTACCAGCTCAGCCCGGATAGAACCAGGGCCAGTCGAAATGCTACCCACTGGAGTAGAGTAGAGCCGAGTAGGGCTGGTGGAAACGGGGCAACAATCTGCTAATTACAACGGTACAATTGCGAATTGTGCAGCCATATCTGAAATCACTGAGCAGTATACATGGAGCAAAGGTACAGGTTCTAGATTTGGTTTGGGGGTCATCGGAGTTTCCCGTTAGCATTGCTAGCTGGAACGTAGGCCACACCGTTCTTCATGGAGGCGGCCTGTTCGGACACAGAGGGGATTCTGGGTAGGGGCTCGGCGGTGTAGAGGGTGGGCTCGCTCAGCTGCTCCCGGTCGATGATGGTGGCGGTCTCTGGGTCCAGCTCGTGGATGTTCTCGTTGAAGAATCTCTGGCGGAGTCTCGTCATCTGCGGCAGCTCACAGCAGGTCTCCAGCATGACCAGGACGCAGATCAGACCCAGCAGGAGGTACACTGCAACAGGACAGAAGACGTTTAAACATCGTCGATGTTGTTCAGGGCAGTGGTTCTCAACCCGTGGGCCGTAGTACGTTAGTAAGTAAGTAATCTTTATTTATACACCGCCTTTTACAGACCAGTGTCAAAAAGCGGTTTACAGTTGTGGGCATTTGTCTCTCACTCCACACAGAGATGGGAGCGGGGCCAGTACAGGAGGCCAGAACTATTGTACATGTTTTTAGTGGAAGGGGAAACCGGAGCACCTGGAGGAAACCTACTCAGACACAGGGAGATAATGCAAACTCTACTCAGAAAGTGTGCCTTGAGATGTTTGATAATGACTTTGCATTGTTAATAAAGGCTGTGGTTCCTATATGCACTTTGTTTATTTATCCCCGTAGCAAACTTTGTCCTCTGTATTTGAGCATGCAAACTCCACTCAGAAAGACCAAGTTCTGACTGCGATTCAAACCCAGGATCTTCATGCTGAGAAGCTGTGCTAATCACTCAGCCCTTAGGATTGAAGAATTGTTATTTTATAGATCAGAGTGACTCTGACCTTTCTCTTGTTATCAATATTATTTTACTACTGATCTTGGAAAAGAACCGATCAACAAAAACAAAACTAAATCTGCCCGTGTTTGCAAAGAAATGTATACAGACGGTACAAATTGGAACCAAAAATATATTGTTTCATCCACTAGTTATTGACCAATAAGTCAATATAGTAATTATTGTGACAGGTCTATGTGTAACCACTGCCTATTGCGACGCCAGAATCATACAATTAAAATGAATGATGTAATGAGGTAAAGACATTAAACCACATAATGAACCATTGCTGTTTTGTATGAATCAATAAGATTAGAACAAAGTACATGAGGTAAGTCAGCAGTGGGTGTGACGAGTCCAGGAGCCTAACAAACCACCACACCATGGAACAATATTAGTCCAGACACAAGTGGACACGGTGAGAAGGACTTTTGAACAGATGCATTCACTAAAAAGTACACATGCATTAATACTCGCGGTTATATGATGCTGTATATGATGCAGTAAAAAAAACACGCAAAAGTGCATACACAAAAACCTGCTAAACAGCCAGAGGTGGACAGTGATATAGCAAGGGACCAGTGCACATATGATAAAAAAAATACTAATATCTTTTGTTAAGTGAGAAAACTTTGGTGGCTGACTAAATAGCCTTTTGCCCCACTGTACATATATATAACATTTATGAGGCAAAAATAGGTTACCCCAGCTTTAAATTGGCTAAAAAAAAATGGTGGCTTAGTTGCGTCTTTTTGAATCTTTTGAGGTGGTGCCACAATCAGTGCTTTTGTTAACGTTTTGGAGAAGCCGAGCGGTGTCGGTTACAGAGCTGTAAGTGAAAGTAAGTTCATATTTCTGCTGGCGTCCCCTGCACCCATGAGCGGTACACAGGGAAGTGGATACAGGTGTGGTTTCACAGAGACACGGAGCTTCTGTTTGCTCTGGCTTTGTACTTGTTTGTTTGTCTGTAAATACAGCATCATAAAGGACAATGATTCTTTCACATGTGGAGGAATGAAGGGAGAGCGTAGTGTGTGCATGTGTCTCTTAATGACGGGAATAACAAATATAAAATGGCCAAAAGCTGAACATTTACAGCTACTTACAGTGGGGGCTAAAACGTGTTTAGACTGCCACTATTTGTGCAAGTCCTCGCTTCAAAAATGATGAAAGATGTCTGTAATTTCATCATAGGTATAGCTCAACAATGAGAGATAAAATAAAGGGGGTAAATGGAGGAATGGGCCAAAATACCAGCGACAGTGTGCGAAAACCTCTGACTTACTGAAAACGTTTTACCCCTGTCTCTGCCAACAAAGGTGAAGAGACAAAGTATTGAAGTGGACTTTGTTGAGGTGTTATTGACTAAATTCTTATTTTCCACGATCAGCCTCTGTCCTCGTTCTACAGCCTGACTCCTGGATCTACAGTAGAGCTGCAACTAACGATTATTTTGTAATCGATTACTCTATCGATTATTTTTACGATTAATCGAGTAATCGCTTGGCTGTGAATTGTGTAGAAAAAAATTATTTTTCAAAAAGCTAAAGTGGCAACACTCGAGGACGTATTGATGGCGTAAACTTAAAGTAAATGTTTGTAACAGGCTCTTTGTGCTAATTCTGCAATCTGATTGGATGAGTCAGACAGATATTCATGAAATTATAAAAACAAAGTCGGTTTTAATCAAAAATACTACATTTTTATGTCATTTTTGCTCTGTTTGAGTCCGTGTGAACCAGAAAACGATTAATCGATTACTAAAATAGTCGTCGACTATTTCAATAATCGATTAGTCGTCGATTAATCGATTAGTTGTTTCAGCCCTAATCTACAGCCTTTCTGTTCGTTCTCATATTATTATGTTTTTCCAGTAGTACCTTGCCAATGCAGGAGGGTCTAATAGACAGTGATGATCCAGGACATTTAAGGAAGAATGAATAAACAAATAAATACTTGTCCACACTAGCAGATTATTATTATTATAATTATTATTATCATCATCGTTGTTATTATTATTATTATTATAAAGATGTAACTACAAAGTAAACATTTTGTGCTAAAAAACCCAAAGAAAACATATATTTCTTTATTTACCGGTCTTCATAAATATACGCAGATTAAGACTTAATTTTGTTTTTGTTTAATCTATTTTTATTTTGACAGTTTTGGTTTTCCATTTATCCCGCTCTCTATGGACCAATGGCTTCTATATGTTTGTTATTATTGCATTTCCTGCGTTCAAACTGTTTGATTCTCCACTCTGATCTGTAGTAATAATAATAACAATAATAATAGTAATACATCAAACTTGTATAGCACTTTTTTGGACACTAAATTACGCTTCACGTGGGGAATACAATTAAAAAAAAGAAGGTTTAAGTTTGGTAGTGAGTCAGAATTGTGATTTAGGGTTATTTAAAAATACAATCAACTGAAATGCAGCAGCAGACATCCCCCGCTCTCTCCTCACCTGTGATGGAAAGCCTGTACAGATGCGGATGTGGTCTGTCCTCTTTATTGTGCGTCGACCCGGGGACGTAATCCCCCAGGCCGATGGTGGTCAGGGAGATGAAGCAGAAGTAAAACGCCTCCAGGAAGTTCCAGTCTTTCTCCGTGGTCACCAGGATCCACGAGGGCACGATCAGCAGCAGCAGCGTCAGCACGATCCCCAGAGACGAGGCGTGGATGAAGCCCAGGAGGGACTTGGTCATGGCCCAGCGTCTGTGGAGGTAGGCGAGGGGCCGGCGCGTGACCAGGACCATGATCCTTTGCACCACGGCGGACAGGAAGAGCAGAGTGGCGGGGATACCCAGCAGAGCGTAGATGATACAGAAGGCCTTGCCCTCGTCGGAGAGAGGAACCGTGTGGCCATAACCTGCAATTACACACACGCCGCAAATGACAGAGAAGTTATTATTACAGGCTTTAGTGGATTTCCAGGCACAGGAGCCAGATGTCATGTTCTGCTCTGTTGTGAAAACTTTTAAAATCCTGTTTCAATCTGGATAAACTCAACAGACAAAAGAAGAGTAATGGTAGATATAATTTGGCATCTGTTAGCACATAAGACTCTGCAGACATAATAAGCAAGAACGAAATCTATTGGATGCTGTAAATTAAATGTGGTTATGATTTGGTGCTCGGACCCCAGCAGAGCACTGCCCGACCAATGCAAAAGAAATTGAGATTATGAGATTGTGTAATTTTAACCTGAGGACTACACAAAGGTTACAGAGCTGGTCATGAGGCGGTGATGGGGAGGAGGAGGGTTGCTGCACGAATTAAAGCTTTTTGCACAATATGAAAGAATTATACAGGGCACTGCTTCAACTGCTAGACAAGATATTGCGATGAACCTAAACTAACCCAAGATAACCCGAGCTAACCTAAACTTACTCTTGTCTCATAACTGGCTCATTAACCAGTGATGGGGAGGAGGAGGGTTGCTGCACGAATGAAAGCTTCCTGCACGATATGAAAGATTAATACAGGGCACTGCTTTAACTGCTAGATAAGACTAACTTAAGATGAACCTAAACTAAGCTGAGCTAACCTAAACTTAATCTTGTCTCAGAACTGGCTCATTAACAGCATGTCATCACCCAATGCATTGTGGGGAATGTAGTTCAGGTCACATGTGGCTTGTAGTCTGCAGTATTTTTGGTCTTCACCGCCTCGCTCTGACTGAAGCCAGACTGGTATGACAATAATCAGGAGTCACATGACCTTAAGACGGCATCTGATAAGCCATTAGTCATTCAGGTTGCCAGGTCAGGTCAAGTTTTGATTGTAGAACCATGGAACAGTAGGAATTCTAGGTACTGTCCCTTTAAGATCCTGAGCCACTGAGCACTGGTCAACAATAAAACAGTCAGGACAAACAGTACTAACTTTTATGGAAACACTGTCATTATGCTAACATCTTAAAGTCTTTAGTTTGGACACGGTAAAAGATAAAAGATGGAAAACTATCAGGCAACACCTTTATGGTTAACCCGGTAAAGGAGCTTAAGCTTAATGGTGTGAAGAAGCGACATGCACGGGTCACATTGTAGACACGGGAAATCCGAAAATTAGTCTTAATTAGATGCTTCTTGAACCAGGACTGAAGAAAGAATCCAGGACAGAGGAATAATCAAAGTCAAGTGATTCAAGACTTTTACAAAACCAGTGGAGCAGACACAACGAAAGCAGAAGTTACATTAAGCTAAAGTGAACTAGAAATGTGAGCGGTTTTGTTATGATACAAACTGGATTTTTATGTCAATACTCGGCTACTGGCTTTTACAAACACACAAAACAGAACGGACTAATAATACGCAACTAAGTAATGTGTGATAATATTATAGATAATTTAACTAATGCAATATGTGGTAATGTCTTTAGACCTGATTTTTCAGACAGACTTGATTGAATAGATTTGATGCCATTTTCAAAACCACAGAACAAAATAAAATAAACTCAAAACCACAGCGCGGTAGTTTTTGTGCTGTGTTTTCTTTTACATAGAATAATTATTTGTGTACATTTTATGCAAGATGTACATATCGCTCTATCTACTGTATATAGAGTAAATACTGATTTGTTTAGGCAGATTTTCTCTCCGTATATCTCTGCATATCTCATTCTTTGTTTTTGTTTTTAGTAATTGACTTGCATGTGCATTGTTTTATTGTTAAATGTGAAAATCTTTGAGATCCCGGTCTGTGAAAGGCGCTAGACAAAAAAACGTTACCTTCCTACAGTACTTATTTACAATTGTTTTGGTTGTACTACTGATTCATATCTTGGTTTTTGATGTTTTTCTAAGCCATCTAACCCATTTTTTGTGGTTTTTAAATGTATGATCCATTCAAAAAAATCTAATTAAAGATGACACCATTTTCTATGAAGAAGGAATGCATTTTTAAAAAAACCTAGGCTACTTTTTATACAAGGTCATTCGCAAAAAATTAGAAAAGCCATAAGACGCAACCCTTTCCCAACACGCAGAGAGCCAGGGCGCATCTCCCAGACAAGTTTGTGAAATAACGCTTTGAGATTTATGTTTTTTCACTGTAATAAAAACATCCAAAGGCAAAAACCAGTGCTTTGAGCCCTTACGTCACACATGTTTGGACTAGGAGTTTCCGGGTGGGGCTCACGTCTCCGCAAGTCAAAAAAAAAGAAAAAAAGTGTTCTCCAGGGCATGAGAAAACAAACAGGGACAGGACTGAAGGCTGTTACAGACTGAACTGGAAAAATCTCAGTGGTGAGGACTTTTTCCTGGGGCTGGGCTGAAACAAGCTGATTATTAAAATAGTAAAGTGAATTAGTAATGGATGGATTTGGTTTTTTCTACGTTTCGATCTTACATAAACATACAGATGAGAAGCGGTTGTTTGAGCCAGCCAAGTCTAGAATGACTGCAGAACATTCAATTATACAAAGTCAAAATAAGTTTTCTTTGTGTAGGTGTCTTTCCAGGGGCTTCACTTTGTACTTGGTCAAAAGTACTGTATATGCATTAAAAAAAAGTGTAAAGAAATGTTTACTATACAATGTGTAAAGTTCTTCTCCACAGCTGTTCTCCTGGGGAATCACTTTGTTTTGGCCAAAGGTATAACAATCCTAAATGATTTGACCTTTTGGGATTGAACAAAAAATAATAATGGGCCATCTCAACCACTATCTAGTTTTCATGGATTGCAGCCCTACAACTTCTTTTTCCCCTAAAGCAAAGACTAAAGAGTTAGATTGAATAGAACATATAGTAAATACTTATAGCAGTGTATATGTGACAGAACTGTTATCTCTGTCTGCTCCTGTCCAATCAGAGAGGTCAGAAAACCAGATCCCGACTCAAAACAGAGGAGACCGGGCCTTAGCTGTCACTGCTCCAAATAACCTCTGTATTCCAGAATAGATCCTTCATTGGAGACTTTTAAATCTAGTCTAAAGACACATTTACTGGCCTTGGCTTTTAAAACTAACTTCTACTGTGTTATTTTTTTTTTTTTTTTGTATTTGTGCGTATTCCATGCCGTTTTCTTTTCTTTTTTTCTTTTGTGCCTGTGAAGCAGTTTGGGCAGCTGGTGTTACTGTGAATGTGCCACACAAGTAAACCTGACATTGACATTGTTTTTTCACCAGTCAAAGATGCTAAGGAGTGGTAACTTGGGCTCCGTCCAGCTGTGATGTTATCAATTGGAAGAAAAGCAATTATCTAAGAGTTTATTTAAGCTATAGATATACTGTAAAGTGTTGTCTGTCTGTCTATGTATCCATCCATTACCAGATTGGCCCTTTGTTTACCTCGTGGTTGCTGTGGTAACTCCCTCTTTCTAATGTCTGAGGCCCATGTCTAACCAGGAAACTACATAAACTAAAACTAGGGAAGAAGGTAAAATAATTCAAGGTAGTAATATGGATTTGAGGGTCTAGTCCTCAAAACAAATCAAATACTGTGTGGTTTAAAGCTGGGGTACTACAGTATGAACAATAGAAGGCCATGGCCTATATAGTAGTACAAAAACAAGATAAAATAGAAGTACAAGACACACAATGTTCTTTGATTGTATATCTGCTACGATTGTGTATCCGTTGTTTTAGCTGACTGACGCCTGGGTTTGGCTCTTTCATGATGACGCAAATTCCAATATATAATGTTTCCCTGTTTATTGTTCTGCCTGAATCTACCACCTGTTGTGAATAAACTTCCAGGTTGCTCTGGTGTGCAAAGATCCCTGCCTATGCGTCTGATTTTCGACAGTACTTCACTTTTTTATTTCATAACCAATCTATGTTTTTGGTCCCAAGCTGTAAAAAGGTATCAACAAATCAGACCAAAATATATGGTCTTTATCTGTTCAGAAAACCTATTATTTTGTACGCATACTTTTATGAAAGAGACCTAAGAGTGAGGGAGGTCCTCTCTTTTTCCACTTTTCTGTCTGAAAAAGCTGATGTATGAGGCCAAACATACATGGAATACTAGAACCAGGAACTAGTCAGATGTGTTGGCTCTATGCAAATGATGAAATATGAGGTAATAATTAATTTGAGTTCATTCTGACTGTTTTAAAGAAAGATTTGCCATTGGGACAAAGCCATTCAGCCTTATTTCAAGAACTTTTGCCTAATTTTCCCATTCCAAGATCATTTTGCTCTTTGTCCCATTGGATAAATCTTGTTCAATATTCTCCAATAAATATACATTATGCCAACATTGAGCACGTTTTTGAGCAAGTTCCTTTGTTGTGGTGTGAAAGATAGGTATCCTGCAGCTTTAATACCAACCTTTACAAAACAACCCCAAACTCCAACTTTTACGCACAGACATATAGCTCACCTGTCGTGGTCAGGACGGTACTGGTGAAGAACAGAGACGACACAAAGTCCCAGTTTTGATCCGAGTCGTTGCCATGGACCGTCACCCCGTAGTTACTGGCCTTGAGCACCCGGACCAAGAGCTTCTCCAGGCGCGCCTCATCCACACACGGACTGTCCTTTAAGAAATCCTGGTGCGCCAGTCTCAGCTCCTGCTTCAGAGCGCGCTCGTACGGCAGCTCGATGGCAGAGAATACACCCGCTCCCGCAATCAAATACAAAACATATCCAAGAACCAGGAGCAAGAAATTCAAGCCAGCGCGGTTTCTCTCCACGAATCCAGCACACCATTCGTTACAAGGCATATCGCTCCCGACGCGTCTCTCTTTCTCTTTCCCTAAGTTTTTAAGGCTTTTCTAAACAGATCTATACTTCCCACATCCAAGGACAAAAATCCAAGCTACAGCAAGCCACGGAGCACTTTTTTTGGCCTCTCCTCCTTCCTTCATTCCATGCGTCTTATTGGTCGTTACGCACGGTGACGTATACGCTTACCGGGGCAGGTATGGATCCCGTGCGCATTCTCTGCAAACTGGTTCCACACGTTTGCGGTGTTGAGAATAGCAACAAAGGATTTCACCTGAAACCACTAAGTCAGGGGCCTCTACAGTCGGTAAAGCCAGATTTTTGAAAAGGTGGATTCTAAGTAGTTTCACGTATACGTCTGTTTGAACAGATATAAGCGATATTCCCACGCCTTCATCACATATTGGTTAACTTGATACAATAGTTATACAAAGGAGAATCATGTTTTCCTAATGGCTGGAAAGTTAGGAGTGGCTACATGTGGCAGGATTAAATACTAAACCCCAAAAAACATTGACATATTAAAGCTGGGGGACTTAACTTCTTTGTTTCGTGTACTACTTCTTGTACAGCTATATCTTGTACAGAAAGAGGCTTGTAAAAAAAATTCATTGTGAATAAATCAGACCACAACAGCCTAAAAGAAAGGCAAGGAATAGCATGTTTTTTTTGTGTAGAACAGTTTAACTCAAAACACAATTTAAGATGAGAAGAAAATAAGAACTATTACAATCATAAATAATCACAGTATGTTAAAAAGAGTGGAAGATACAATTCTTCAGTTGTAGCAGCAAAAAAGTAGTGTTTTTTAAATCTGGATTTGAACATTGTCAGAGAAGAAGCCAGTCTCACATTTTCAGGAAGGCTGTTCAAGATTTTAGTTGCATAAATCTGAAAGTCCCCCCTGGACTGCCACCTTAACGTGGTGGGGGAGTTTGAGTACTCGGATGATCCTGGGAGCTATGCTGTCTGGGGCTTCATGCCCCTGGTAGGGCCTCCCATGGCAGACAGGTCTCAGGTGACGAGTCAGACAAAGAGCAGTCCAGAAGACACCATGGACAGCACTAACACAAAAACAGTGACGTCGCCCGGCATGGCGCAGCCGGGGCCCCACCCTGGAGCCAGGCCTGGGGTCGGGGCCCGTATGCGAGCGCCTGGTGGCCGGGCCTTAGCCCACGGGGCCCGGCCGGGCTCAGCCCGAAGGGATGACGTGGGCAGTCCCTCCTGTGGGCCCACCACCTGCAGAGGGGTCCGTGGTGAAGCGGTGCAGAGAGGACTGGGCGGCAGTCGAAGGCGGAGACCTCGGCGACCCAGTCCGCACACACAACATCTGGCTCTTGGGACGTGGAACGTCACCTCACTGGGGGGGAAGGAGCCCGAGCTCGTGGGGGAGGTTGAGCGATACCGACTAGAGATAGTCGGCCTCACCTCCACACACAGCTTGGGCTCTGGAACCCAACTCCTTGAGAGGGGTTGGACGCTCCACTTTTCTGGAGTTTCCCGCGGGGAGAGGCGGCGAGCTGGGGTGGCCATTCTCATTGCCCCCCATCTCAGCCGCCACGTGTTGGAGTTCTCCCCGGTGAATGAGAGGGTCGCGTCCCTCCGCCTCCGGGTGGGGGACAAGTCTCTCATTGTTGTGACGGCCTACGGGCCTAACAGCAGTTTAGAGTACCCGGCCTTCTTGGAGTCCTTGGGAGGGGTACTGGACGGTGCACCGCCCGGGGACTCCGTTATTCTCCTGGGGGACTTCAACGCCCATGTGGGAAACGCCAGTGACACTTGGAGAGGGGTGATCGGGAAGAGCGGCCCCCCTGATCTGAACCCGAGCGGTGCTCAGTTGTTGGACTTCTGTGCCAGTCGCGGTTTGTCCATCACGAACACCATGTTCGAGCACAAGGGTGTCCACCAGTGCACGTGGCACCAGGACACCCTAGGCCGGAGGTCGATGATCGACTTTGTTGTCGTATCATCTGACCTTCGACCGCGTGTCTCGGACACTCGGGTAAAGAGAGGGGCGGAGCTGTCAACCGATCATCACCTGGTCGTGAGTTGGATCCGCTGGCAGGGGAAGAAGCCGGTCAGACCTGGCAGACCCAAGCGTATAGTGAGGGTCTGCTGGGAACGTCTCGCTGAGCCCCCTGTCAGACGGACTTTCAACTCACACCTCCGGGAGAGCTTCTCCCAGGTCCCGGCGGAGGAGGGGGACATGGAGTCCGAGTGGACCATGTTCTCTGCCTCAATCGCCGATGCGGCGGCTCGTAGCTGTGGTCGCAAGGTCTCTGGTGCTGGTCCCGGCGGCAACCCCCGAACCCGGTGGTGGACACCGGCAGTAAGGGATGCTGTCAGGCTGAAGAAGGAGTCCTATCGAGCCATGATGGTTCGGGGGACTCCTGAGGCAGCTGTCCAGTACCGGCAGGCCAAGCGTGCCGCGGCCCGGGCTGTTGCAGAGGCAAAAACCCGGGACTGGGAGGAGTTCGGAGAGTCCATGGAGCATGACTATCGGTCGGCCTCGAAGAGATTCTGGCAAACCATCCGGCGCCTCAGGAGGGCGAAGCAGTTCTTTGCCAACACCATGTACGGTGCGGGTGGAGAGCTGCTGACCTCGACTGGGGATATTGTCGGGCGGTGGAAGGAATACTTTGAGGTTCTCCTCAATCCCCCCGTCACGTCCTCTGTTACAGAGGCAGAGGCTGAGGATGTTGGGGCGGGTACATCCATCTCCCTGGCTGAGGTCACCAAGGTGGTTGGTAGCCTCCATGGTGGCAAGGCTCCGGGTGTGGATGAGATCCGCCCTGATTATCTAAAGTCTCTGGATGTTGCAGGACTGTCTTGGCTGACACGTCTCTGCAACATCGCGTGGCGATCGGGGGCAGTGCCAATGGAGTGGCAGACCGGGGTGGTGGTCCCTCTCTACAAGAAGGGGGACCGGAGGGTGTGTTCCAATTATCGTGGGATCACACTCCTCAGCCTCCCCGGTAAGGTCTACTCCAAGGTACTGGAAAGGAGGTTACGGCCGATGGTCGAATCTCGGATCCAGGAGGAGCAGTGTGGTTTTCGTCCCGGTCGCGGAACACTGGACCAGCTCTATACTCTCCATCGGATACTCGAGGGTTCATGGGAGTTCGCCCAACCTGTCCACATGTGCTTTGTGGATTTGGAGAAGGCGTTCGACTGTGTTCCCCGGGATGTCCTTTGGGGGGTTCTCCGGGAGTACGGGGTCGGAGGTCCTCTGCTGAGGGCCATCCGATCCCTGTATGACCGGAACCAGAGCTGTGTTCGCATTGCCGGCAGTAAGTCAGACCTGTTCCCGGTGAATGTTGGCCTCCGACAGGGCTGCCCTTTGTCACCGGTTCTGTTCACTGTATTTATGGACAGAATATCTAGGCGCAGCCAGGGGTCGGAGGGGGTCCGGTTCGGAGACCACAGGATTTCATCTCTGCTGTTTGCGGACGATGTTGTCCTGTTGGCTCCAACGAACCAGGACCTGCAGCATGCACTGGGACGGTTTGCAGCCGAGTGTGAAGCGGCTGGGATGAGAATCAGCACCTCCAAATCCGAGGCCATGGTGCTCGACCGGAAAAAGGTGCCTTGCCCTCTGCAGGTGGGTGGAGAGGTCCTTCCTCAAGCGGAGGAGTTCAAGTATCTCGGGGTCTTGTTCACGAGTGAGGGAAGAATGGAGCGTGAGATTGACAGGCGGATTGGTGCAGCGTGCGCAGTTATGCGGTCGCTGTATCGGACCGTTGTGGTGAAGAGGGAGCTGAGCCGAAAGGCAAAGCTCTCGATTTACCGGTCAATCTTCGTTCCCTCCCTCACCTATGGTCATGAGCTTTGGGTAATGACCGAAAGAACGAGATCGCGGATACAAGCGGTCGAAATGAGCTTCCTCCGCAGAGTGGCTGGGCGCTCCCTTAGAGATAGGGTGAGGAGCTCAGTCACACGGGAGGAGCTCGGAGTAGAACCGCTGCTTCTCCACGTCGAGAGGAACCAGTTGAGGTGGCTCGGGCATCTGTTCCGGATGCCTCCTGGACGCCTCCCTGGGGAGGTGTTCCGGGCACGCCCCACCGGGAGGAGGCCCCGCGGAAGACCCAGGACACGCTGGAGGGACTATGTCTCTCAGCTGGCCTGGGAACGCCTTGGGGTCCCCCCGGACGAGCTGGAGGAAGTGTGTGTGGATAGGGAAGTCTGGGCGTCTCTGCTTAGACTGCTGCCCCCGCGACCCGGCAACGGATAAAGCGGAAGAAAATGGATGGATGGATGGAAATCTGAAATGCTGTCTCCTGAAAGTCTGGACTCTGGGCACCAGCAGGAGGCCAGTCCCTGTGCTCCTCAGAGTCACCAGCAGGAGGTCAGTCCCTGTGCTCCTCAGAGTCACCAGCAGGAGGTCAGTCCCTGTGCTCCTCAGAGTCCCAGCAGAAGGCCAGTCCCTGTGCTCCTTCGAGTCCCAGCAGGAGGCCAGTCCCTGTGCTCCTCAGAGTCCCAGCAGGAGACCAGTCGCTGTGCTCCTCAGAGTCACGAGCAGGAGGCCAGTCCCTGTGCTCCTCAGAGTCCCAGCAGGAGACCAGTCCCTGTGCTCTTCAGAGTCACCAGCAGAAGGCCAGTCCCTGTGCTCCTTCGAGTCCCAGCAGGAGGCCAGTCCCTGTGCCCCTCAGAGTCCCAGCAGGAGGCCAGTCCCTGTGCCCCTCAGAGTCCCAGTAGGAGACCAGTCGCTGTGCTCCTGAGAGTCACCAGCAGGAGGCCAGTCCCTGTGCTCTTCAGAGTCACCAGCAGAAGGCCAGTCCCTGTGCTCCTCAGAGTCCCAGTTGGTTCATATAGCGCTAACATGTCACAGATGGACTTTAGTGCGAGGCCGTGGAGAGCTGCTTTAAAATCTGTTCTACATAATGAAACATTTTATCTTTTGCAATCTTGTAACAAAGAGCCCTGTGAGTCAAAACGCTTTAGGCCGTGTGATGATTACTTCACTTTCTTTTCATGCCTTAAAACCCTGATCTCGAGCTGTGATAGAAGCCACAAAAATAATGTATTGAAACGGAATAATCTTAACAGTTCTCTCCTGCAGGTTCCATCAAACATTTACAGACTCTACGGCTCCATCTCAGCCGCACAGAATACTGCAAAAACCTATATCTTTCATAAATTACATGAAACACTACTAAAAATATACACTCATTTTTTTAGGTTTTTTTTTTTAAATTGCAGTTACTCAAAAAAGTTATAGCAACGTTCAAGCTGGGGTTTACCTAACGTCTTTCGCTCATAATGCATTATATTTGTCCCAACAGGGTAAAAGGACAGATGACCAAAATGCTGTGCTACATTCTTGCATACATGTAAGAATGAGCCCTGTGAGTCGCTATTTCACGCTTTGGGCTGAGAGCTGATTGGCTGAGTGAAGGTGGTCCTCTCTTTTGACAGTTTTTCAAGAGTATAATACAGTATACATGTGGAAACTATAGATAGATGGGTTTTATTACATAGTTCCAATATCTGCGGTTTAGAAGTTATGTACCCCAGCTTTACAGTAATCTACACCTACTGTACATAATTTGTCTTAATCCTAATAGAGATGACGCACTAATATTGGTAATCTTGCAGATACTTTACAAATACATCATCAGATTTTGAGTTTTAAATGAGCTTGAATTTTTCCATTTCATTTTTTAATCATGAAAAAGTCTGTTTGACTATTATGTCTTCTTTTTTCATTTCAGTCATAAAAAATAAATTTACAAGTTTTCTATGTGATTCAAATTTCGAAATGACATATTCGCTTTTAAAATATTAAATGTTTATTCTCGAGCCTCAAATTCAGTGCACTGTGAAATTTGATGAAAAAAAGACAGATAATTTTTTCAATCAAGGTTTGTATTTTAAATGGGTCTGAATTCATCTATTTGATTTTTTTATTCAAAAAAAAAATAAAAATTCAAGCGCTCAAATCCAACCCTGACGTCATCTTTAGTTGAGCCACCAGAGGGCGCCAGAGACTGCGCTTTCTACATAACACAGTGGCACAAATCTCACCCTGGAATAAGTAATCACAACACATACTGACAAAAATGTTTATCAAGAATCATTTATTAAAAAAACGTGAACATTTTATACCCAAAAAAATACTTTGATTTAAATTAGTATTTACATCTGAGAATAGATCAATAGAAATGTGTGGAATGTGAGAAATGCATCTTATAATATGTTTAATGTTAAAGTATGTTCCGTCTGATGATGTCATGGCGTGGACTTATTATTGATCACTTTTTTCTGTTTTTTTTTTTGATGTATTGGTTCTTTTTCAGTTTTACTCCATGTGTCGTCCTGTGTGTATTTAAAACCTGCGTTATATGTTTATGCCTGAAGTTTACGCCTGGATGGGTCTAAAAACACCTCCAGGTCTGATTTGATAAGAGAACAATGTTGTAAAGTGGAAAAATGTTGTGTAATACAAGAACAAATAACTTAAGACCTAAGCATTTCTCACTGGCTGAGGCTGAATTAATTTCAGTCATTTTAAAAAGAGATTTACCAAAACATTACCTATGATTTTACAGCATGTGGGTCATTATTGTACATGTCAATAAAACGTAAGAATATAAATAGACTAATGATCTTATTGTCCGAAATAATGTTTTCTTTTCCCTGTATGCTAACCTCCACGATTACAGGCAGCACATTTTGTATTTTTATTGCTGCAAATTAGACATAAACAACTTTCAACTCTTCTTTCATTACCATAAGTCACTATTTCTGAATAATCAATAAGGTAAGAATCAAGCTTCCAACGCATGACAACTCAGAATTGCTAAAACTGTTCAAAGGATTTTCTCATCTAGACATAAACATAAAAATAAAAAATCAAGAGACCATTGACTATAGTCCGGAATATTAGAGTAGGTTGGAGATCGAGTTTGGTCCTGTGGCGTTCCCGGCTGCAGCAGAAGACTCAGTTATCTGGAAAACAGACGACAAATGTGGTTTGACACGACTTTATGAGAACGGTGCAGGTTCAGCTCAGGATAGAGTCTGTGGAAGTGGGTCATCGTCAAAAACTGACCGGAAAAAACACCAAAAAAGGGTTCAAGAAAGACTAGAGATAGAGCGAAGTATAGACAAGCAACACATAATCAACGCCTAAAGCTACATTTAGACGTTTAAAGCCAAGGATAATCTGGAAAGTCCGAACCTAGACTGGTTTTTAGAAAAATACAAAACACTACACTACACCCACAGTCCTGGATCTACAGTATCAGTCTTGGATCTACAGTCTCAGTCCTGGATCTACGGCCTCAGTCCTGGGTCCATTATTCGAAAATAGAAGAAAATGCCACAACTGAAAATCTACCAAGACTCGGCCGTCTGCCCAAACTCACAGCTTCGACGAGAACAACACCGATCACAGATGCACACACGAGGCCAATGGTTACTCCGTACATGGGGATAGCTATTCTTATTTGTAGACTGACCGACAACGTTCTCCTGGAGTGTGATCTGTCTTTGTTTGTGCGTTTGTGTATCTGTTACCTCTGCACTCGTATCTCAGGTCGGAGAAAAGTGCTTGTTCCTGGGAAAACACAAAGAGCCCGAGTCGCCCTCCGGACAGAGTGTGGTCGTACACCGCCCCGGAGTCCGACAAGATCTTCCTGCCCTCGTACACCACCACCCTGCATGGACGGCAAGCTTATTTGCCAAGTTCATTAAATTGAACTTGAAATTCAAGAATTTAATGCGATTTTAAGTAAAACCACATTGGAAAAACTATCCAAGAATACTCCAGTGTGCACCAGACAGCACACACCAGAGCTCTTGCCATTCTATACACACACAAAAAATAAAATAAACAATGTTGTGTTATATTGTACATACATAAAATGACTGTTAAATTTCTGTCAGAAGAGTTACTTAACATGTTACAGGTTCGATGTAAGATAATTTGTTAAAGAAATACATTAGAACTTTTATTTAAACACATGTTATTGTCTATACCAGGCATGTCCAAACTAAGGTCCATGGGCCAAATGGGGTCCTCTACATCATATCATGTGGCCATATTACATGTGGTCCCATATCGACACTATTGCCTACTTGTTCCTTGTTATTCAACCTCAATTCAGCAATCACACCATTCCACCCACAATGCATCTCTGCACAGTTTGCAAACAGCTTTGATATTGCTCTCCGTCTGTGCGGTTGAAAAAAAGGTTTGGCTCAGGGCGTTTTTCAGAGCAGTGCGACACGGCGGCGGCGGATGCGGGTTCGTGGGTTTGAGACGCCACGGTGCAAATAGTAAATTATTACCCAGGCTTTCATGTAATAACTCTGAAAGATTGATGATATCCCCCGGTCTGAGAACATCTGAGACTTTCCAGATTTGTACATGTTACATTCTGTGCGGCTTGTCGCTTAAATCTTCATAAGCTCTGGCAGATAAACGCAGAGTACAAATGGAAACTTATTGCCAAAATATTTTATGGTTTGGATGGGAAAAAAACAGGTGCTTCACAGAGACACATGTTTTTAAGATTGTAAGATCACGATAAAACGGTAAAGTTGGCGTAAAACTGGCGCGTTCGAGATTATGACGAGAAAAAACACTGCTAAAGATGTGATTTATGTTTTTCACTTTCATTTGTTGCCTGTTAACCTGGCAAAAGCCAGATTGATGATTGTGTAGAACTCTAACGCGTTCTCCGCGATATCAATCTGGGATTTCTCCCGGAGAATCCTTTCGGGGAAAGGAGGGGTAAGCAGCAGAATACTTGAAGCTGATTGGGCGAAGTGACGCTGTGTGCCCGCCTACCAAGGTTGCCGTCCAGAAATGTACAAAGCGCCTCTCGCTGTTCATCTTTCAAAAAAGAAATTGGAGATTCTGCTAAAACTGACTTTGCGTCCGTCCTCCTGCGTAGCCATGTTTGTTTTGCTTCGGCCCGGCACTTCTTGCTTTCGTCAAACCCGGATATCCCGCCCTAAACCCCCAGACTGGCGCGTGATTGGCTCGCACACCCAGTGGTTCGACTCGAAAAGTGTAAGCGGGAGCGGTACAAGATGTATTCTCGAGTGTTTGTGAACTCACAAATACCGCGAGAATTCAGCTTGCAGGCAAGGTTAGTTGCCTGTAAGGATTAGTGAGGATGTTTTTTGCAGGTTTCAAAGTAATTTTACACTGGGATTTTTTCTCATTCGAGTGACATCCCCAAAGCGACTCTTCACTGACCGAGGGACTAGAACTCCAAGAGCAGTCAATTTGACGGCTTTTTGTTTTGGAAGTGTAAATAAGCCACATATGTACATTTCTGGTCTTCCTAACTTTTTCTCTATCCATTTCTAGTTTGTTTCTAGGTAATTATTTTCTGGGATTGATTTTTATTTTAAGTGTGTGTTTTTGGTCACTTGGAAACCAATAATTTATGGCAGTTGAAGTAACTTTTCTCAAGGTGCTGGACTAAACTATTTTTGTTGCATTTCAAGATATTTTAACCATTATTAGCATTTAGTAAAGAAAAAAAAACGTTATAAATTGCAACATTTAAAGAAACTATTTTTTGGTATTTTTTCAGGACTATATTGTTTTGAATGAGTCGTTGAAATGCTCTGAGAGTTCTCATAGTTTCAGAATTCTGGGAGTCCTAGTGTTGGCACTGAAATAAACTACATCAATTGTTAAAACTTGACCTCTGCTGCCATTTTGTTCTGGAAAATTGTATTTTGAATGGGAAAAAAGTCCATTCAAAATCTTGGTATTTCGCTCCGGACAATTGTCATGTGTTATTTGTTGGGATTAAAAGTGATTGTCAGGTTAAGGTTAGAGTTGTATCACATGTTTCTCAGCCAGTTGACATAATACAACCTTTAATCCTTTAAATCCAACTCTGATAAATAAGATTTGAATAGGAAATGTGAACGCAATTTCTTCGTTGCTATTTCAGTCCTTAAAATATGTGATTTCAAGTCACAATCAGGTTAGGGTTAGGGTTGGGGTGAGGGTTAACTAAGAAAGTTTGCAGCAGGAAAAAATACCAAGAGTCCTTCAAAATATTGGAAAAAAAATAGACACAGAAACCAATGTATAAAACCACATAATAGTATTTACTCTATAGGCACCAACGCAAATGACTTTAGGGCACTTGCCGTTGCCTTGAATATTTATCGTATCTCTCCATAATGTTGTTTCTAGAAGTCTTCTATCTATTCTAAAGTTTTCAGTCCCCACCTGTTGTCTGTTTAACATCCACTTTCTGTGAAACTCTGGCTTCCAAAGGGTTAAAGGTGCAGGTGGCGCGGTGGGAATGCATTCTCGTCTCATGAAAATGTTATTGTCTTGTCAGGAATGTTCCATGCTATCTATCTCTCATTTATTCAATTCCAGCGAGGTTTTATCGCCAAAAAATACTTTGTTTTGGGGCTTGTTTCCACATGGATTCCAAAGTTTGATGCCATCATGACAAGTTTTCCAGCCACAGAATGATTTGCATCCACACCATTTCCACTAAAAACATATTCGTTAATAAATAATTAATGTATTTCATGACTCAGGAACACAGACAAAGCTGGAAAAATTCTAAAATAATTATCAAATGCCTTTATAAATATGTAACTTTAATGTAGTTATTTTTAATTTATTTGTTTTGAATTCTGAATTTTAATTTATAGTAGGTCACCGTCTGTTCTGGGTAATAGGCCTTTCACCTGATGAAGCCAGTCTTGGGCCGGTGGATGAGGTGCATGCGGTAAGCTGTGAAATACTTCCAGCCGGTTTTATGTGGGTCGTGCCATAAAGTTTTGACCTGGAACAAATACAAAAATAGAGCAGGACTCATTATTGTTGCTTTTACTGCCATTAGTCTACAGTCAGTGGGTACATTCTCCACTTACTCTAGTTAATCATGTTGGTTTGATGATCTGGGTCATTACACAGAGTCATGGCTGAAACTAATGACATTTCTGTTTTTATACCATCTGTACTGTTAAAGCTGGGGTACGCAATTTAAAAGCACAATTGAACTATGTGATAAAATCAATCTAACTTGTTCCTTGCTAAAAACAGTTTAGTTCCCTTTTTTCACATGTATTTTTGGCCTCTGTGATATTTAGATCAGCTTTTCCAGATAGAAAAGTGAAAATGACAGATGGACCCTCACTCTGCAAATCTGCATGGCTCTTTTGTTAGATTTGTTTATACTGCACATGTACTGATATGTCATTTTATTGACAAATTCTTTGCACACTGTAAACTTGTCGTCGTTTTGCCTCTTGCCCATGGGACCAAGGAGGAAAATTTGCTTTGTACATTACATTAACTGTGCAAATATGCCAAAAATAAATGTAAAATAAAATACGGAAAATAAACACAAAACAATTACATAAATGAAAGTAGATAAATCATATAAATACAAAAATAGGAAAAGTTTTATAACAATAAAATAAATAAAATGAATAAAACGAATAAAATGAATAAAATGAATAAAATGAATAAAATGAATAAAATGAATAAAATGAATAAAATAAAATACATAAAATAAATAAACAGCTAAAATAAAATAAAAAACAACTAAAATAAATACAAACAACTAACATTAACAAAATAAACAAATTCACGATTGTTTTGTCTATTTAATAGTTTACCCACGTCAAAGACAGACATTTAGGCCGCATCATTTTGAAGCATTTACTGTAGCAGCTGTAACTAAGTCCAATCACAGAAGCACCTGATTCCTGGTGTGCCCCGTGTGCCACAGAGCGTTCCTCAGATTCTCCCCGGGTCCTGTGCTGGACTCCACCAGTTTGATGGAGAGTCCCGCGGTGCCGAACGCTTTGGAAGGCCTTTTCTCCCAGTACGCCTGCGACACCTGAACGCACCAAAGCAACGTCAACAATCACGCTGAATATACAAAAAGGATATAGCCCTAAAGCAAAAGCTAAGTAGCAGCGGTAGCCATTTCTGTTGTGCAAAGTTTAAAGAATAGAAGGTAACGGGACAGTAGCATTATTTTTAGCAATTTTTAGATTTGACAACACAAAAGCAATCAATGTAATCACTAGTTTTCACATGTTTCACCTCTATCACATCATATATTTTCTAAACCGAAAAATGAAAAAGAAACAGGGCCGACATCACTCAGCCGGTCATCTTGAAATGTTGTGGGTGAGACGTGTATATCTGATCATGTGTCCGTCTACTTTTGTTTTACTGTTTTAAAATAACCTGCTAAGGTGTAAAATAGCTCTCCTACTAACAACCAGGAACAATGGATACTGTATCTCCAGGTAAAAATTTCTCCATTGTGAGATCAATAAAGTTCATCTTATCTTATCTTTTTGCTAATGCTATTGCTAACACTCATTGTACACTGTAATGTTGTAGTATTTGTGGCAGTATTTGTATAAGATAGAGTGGTCACCTGCTTCCACATGACGACGTAGAAGCGGCGGCTGGACTGGTACGAGAACACCACGCCTGCGTAGTCGTCGTCGCGGTCCGTGTTCACGTAGAAGGTCACGCTGAAGTCCACGGCGCTGAAGCGATCGAAGCCTGCAGGGACAAAACCACTGCTGCAAAACTACTGACAGTGTGGGGTCTAAAAAAAATTGTCAGATCGAGTTCTGACTGGAACTAGAACTAGTGCTAGTTACCATAGCAACACACCGTTTACTGTTAGCAGATAGCATTTAAGGCCCCTACACACTACTGACAGACGGTGTTTGACGAACATCATTCAACTTTGCATCACTATCAAAAAGAAATATTCTAAGATTTGACTGTAAAAACCCGCCTCAAGACTTCCTCCTCACTGGAATCCATAAAAAATTCTTCAGATCAAGTTCTGACTGGAAATGGTGCTGAATTGGTTTTCACTAGAGAGGGGCTAGAGATAGTTACCATAGCAACACACCGTTTATTGTTTGCCCCGGCATGCATGTTTTTTTAAATGGAAAGACATGCCATGACATTTCCGCTTAGGTAAAACTAAAAGTAGAAGCAGCTGCCTCTCATAACGCCCCTTTTAAATAGGTCAAAAGTATTTCCACCAGAGAAGAGCTAATGCTAGTTACCATAGCAACACACCGTTCAACGTTAGCAGTTAGCCTATACGGCCTCTACACACCACACGCGTGTTTTTGAAATGGAAAGACCTCAACCTTGTTTTCCTAACTTATGTAAAACTGAAAGTAGAAGCAGCCGCCTCTCATAACGCTCCTTGTAAATTGAGCAAAAGCATTTCCACCAGAGAAGAGCTAATGCTAGTTACCATAGCAACAGTTAGCATTTACGGCCCCTACACACCGCATGATTGTTTTTGAAATGGAAAGACCTCAACCTTGTTATCGTCCCTTATGTACAACTGAAAGTAGAAGCAGCCCCCTCCCATAACGCTCCTTGTAAATAGATCAAAAGAATAGATCCAGACCTAAAGCAATGCCTGGATCGGAGTTGGCCGTCTGTAGCAGCTCGGTGCCCTGACCCCGGACGATCCACAGCGGGTCGGACTGGGTGGTGCCGCTGGGATCCAACAGAACCACCTGGAACTTTCGGAAGTCCGTGAGTCCGATGTCCTGGTTCAGCGGACAGGCATCCAGGGCATCAGGAATACTGTCGTTGTCAAAGTCGTCGAAGCAGGCGTCTCCGCTCCCGTCGCCTAAACAGCAGTAAACACCGAGAGGAGGTTTTCACTGCTACACTAACTCAATCTGTTGAATGCATTGATACATGACATTATTTATGATATTTGGCTTCTCTCGGGAGCTTTAAATGTGTAAGAACATTCTTGATGGTCCACTGAAGCACGGAGAGGATGTATTCAGCGCTAGGCTAAATTGATCCATAAGGGAAACTACTCTATTCTCAAACAACACGCGAATTACACATTCACATAAAACCCAGATAATGACAAAAACGATAAATACATTTTAAACCATCTTCTTTGTCTTCTCATTTTGACGGCTTTGTCTTCACACTGAGAGTGTGAATCCTCACTGTATTTCTCCCTCACTGGTCTCTCTCTCTGGCCTCTCATTCTGGTCTCTCTCTGATCTCTCTCTGGCCTCTCTCTGGTGTCTCTCTGTTCTCTCCCTGGTCTCTCTCTTTGGTCTCTTTCTGGCCTCTCTCTGGCATCCCTCTTTGGCCTCTCTCTGGTCTCTTTCTGGTCTCTCCCTGGTATCTCTCTCTTCTCTCTCTGGTATCTCTCTGGTATCTCTCTCTGGTCTCTCTCTTTCTCTCTGGCCTCTCTCTCTCTGGTCTCTCTTTCTGGTCTCTCTCTCTGGTCTCTCTCTGGTCTCTCTTTCTGGTCTCTCTCTGGCCTCTTTCTGGCCTATCTCTGGTATCTCTCTCTGGTATTTCTCTGGTCTCTCTCTGAATTTCTCTCTGGTGAAATTCTGATATTTCAAATTTAAAATGTCTTGTGTGGTCACATTTGTGGAGAAACAAGTGGATCCTGACCGTCTGAGTCTCGCTGGTCCCGGTTGGGCACCAGTCTACAGTTGTCTCTGTCGTCCGGTACTCCGTCGTTGTCGTCGTCATGGTCACAGGCGTCCCCGGTGCCGTCGCGGTCCTGGTCGGCCTGGTCACTGTTGGACACGTACGGGCAGTTGTCCACAGAGTTCTGGTGTCCGTCCTCATCGATGTCTGAATTATCGTCGCACAAGTCTCCCACCAGGTCATTGTCCAGGTCCAGCTGGTTATACAAGAAATGGAAAACAAGAATTATCCTATGAGCCCTCGTTTATTTCTCCCATTTGTTTTTTTTATTTTTCTCACTACATTGTGAATTGCTGCAGTACACCCCCAGAATGCAGCATGTCCTGTAACTTACCTTTCACATTAAAAAGAGGGTAAAAAAATCATCAAAATAATCAAATAACAACGCAATTTTTTAATACATATTTTCTTAATTAAAGTATCAACGATTACATTAAAGAAATATTCATTGTGTCTTTTTTAGTATATATACTGTATGTATATAAAGGTATTTGGTTCTTCTATACCAGACAATCGTAGGATAGATTATACGTCAAAACATGTCAAGGTAATAACATTGCTAACTTACTATTGTCGGGTATAGAACCAAATACCTTTGAATTAGTCTTTTCTATAGGGACATAAAACATTAAACACAGTGAAAAAACTCATCATAATACTTATATCATAATAATTTCTCCGATACATCCGAGAGCTCAGATTCCGTAAAACATGTTCTCATTCATACTAAACTAAATTCTCTATTCTCAAGTTAAGTTTTTGGGTTTGCCTCTTCAGTCTCTGCTCAAACACATTCAAGACGGAGGACGGTCAATTATAGTAAATTCTTCTTTAACAGATTGTTGTGAGTCCTTCACCTGCTGTGGGTTGTGCAGCAGTGGGCAGTTGTCGCACTGGTCTCCCACTCCGTCCAGGTCGGTGTCTCTCTGGTCTGTGTTGTAGATTAACGGACAGTTGTCTCTGTCGTTCAAAACCCCTGGACCAAAGAATCATGACAAGGAATCCTGAATATGACTTTATGAATCACATTTATAAAGCTACAACGGTAAAACGACTTTTGAATATCAAGTGCAGAAGGCTTGTATGTAATAATTTATTCAATCAATCGTGGGCTTTGGTGGGTACCTCCTGGAGAGAGAGGCAAAGTCAACGTTTAAAGTTGCGGTCAACTTTCAAACCACAGTAAAATGTAACTATGTAATAAAAATCCATCTGACTAGTTCCTCGCTTTCAAATCAAAATTAGATCGGCTTTTTTTCCGGACAGAAAAGTGACAAAGAGAGGACCTCACTCCACCATCAGCTTCTCTCAGCCCAAAGTAGCAAATAGTGACTCTCAAGGCTCGTCCTTATACGTATGCAGATTATAAAATATGTATATATAGTCCTAGATCTACAGCCTAAGTCCTGGTCCTACATCCTCAATCCTGGATCTACAGCCTCAATCCTGGTTCTACAGCCTCAGTCCTGGATCTACAGCCTCAGTCCTGGGTCTACAGCCTCAGTCCTGGGTCTACAGCCTCAGTCCTGGGTCTACAGCCTCAGTCCTGGGTCTACAGCCTCAGTCCTGGATCTACAGCCTCAGTCCTGGGTCTACAGCCTCAGTCCTGGATCGACAGCCTCAGTCCTGGATCGACAGCCTCAGTCCTGGATCTACAGCCTCAGTCCTGGATCGACAGCCTCAGTCCTGGATCTACAGCCTCAGTCCTGGATCTACAGCCTCAGTCCTGGATCTACAGCCTCAGTCCTGGATCTACAGCCTCAGTCCTGGATCGACAGCCTCAGTCCTGGATCTACAGCCTCAGTCCTGGATCTACAGCCTCAGTCCTGGATCTACAGCCTCAGTCCTGGATCTACAGCCTCAGTCCTGGATCGACAGCCTCAGTCCTGGATCTACAGCCTCAGTCCTGGATCTACAGCCTGTTCGTTTGTGGGAGTGGATCCATTTTTTCCCCCCAACATTTCTCTTTGGACAAACAATTCTATGTACAATACGAAAGGGTTAAAAAAATGCTCGGGACTCCACCTTTAAGTGTCAAATATATTCAGTTAAGACTTTGAAGTGCTCTAATGGTGTCCGTCCTGCACGCATGAGGAGAGATATAGAATAAAGCTGTGTTTTTTTCACCATCTCCGTCTATGTCTATGCTGCAGGCGTCTCCCTCTCCGTCCTCATCCGTGTCTGTCTGCAGAGGGTTGGTCTCAAAGGGACAATTATCGCATCTGTCCCCGAATCCATCCAGGTCTGAGTCGAACTGACGAGGATTGAACACCAGGGGGCAGTTGTCCTATAACACAGTGATAGAAAGATAGATAGATAGATAGATAGATAGATAGATAGATAGATAGATTTGTATTTCAACACGTACCCTTCCATCAAGAATCTCATCGTTGTCATCGTCCGGGTCACAGCTGTCTCCCAGTCCATCTTTGTCCCAGTCTTCTTGTCCTGAGTTTGGAATCATTGGGCAGTTGTCCTGTGGTTAGAGGAGAGAAATGACAAATACAATTTAGTATTTACTCTTTGAAATATATTGATTGTGTTGGTCATTAGTGGGATGTAGTCTTTTTAGTGGGAAGTGTACAATCCAAAGATATTTTAAATTATCTCTGGTCTCTCTCTGGTCTCTCTTTCTAGTCTCCCTTGGGTCTCTCTCTCTGCCTTCTCTCTCCAGCCTCTCTCTCTCCAGCCTCTCTCTCTCTCTCCAGCCTCTCTCTCTCCAGCCTCTCTCTCTCTCTCCAGCCTCTCTCTCTCTCTCCAGCCTCTCTCTCTCCAGCCTCTCTCTCTCTCTCCAGCCTCTCTCTCTCTCTAGGTAAACCGCACTGAGGGCAATGCACTAAACTGAACCAAAAATCTGCCGAAAAACAATCTACTGAAACAAGAATCTACCATTGCAGTGTGCCTTGAAAACCCCTATTTCAGACTAAACAGGAGACAATTATTCATGAAACCATTGCATTGTGCTTTGTAAATCCCATCCCGTCACAGTGGCACCTTTTGGCAGTGGTAGGTAGCGTTCTGTTTGCAGGGCAGCTGTTGATTGGGCCAGCCGTCCAGATCTGAGTCTTCTCCGCAGAGGAATCCGTCTCCAGCAAAGCCCACGGCGCACACGCATTTGAACAGCAGCTCTGAGGCCAGCCCCAGGTAAAAACACTCTGCAAATCTGTGGCAGCTGTGAGAGCTGTCTGCGCACGGATTATGAGGCTCACACACCTAAAAAGTGACAGCAAATTTACAAACAAATGCAAAATGTTAAGAAAGAGTGGTTTGGTTGTGTAGTGGTTTTGACTGTTGTGTTAGTATGCAATAGTGGCATCCGTTCATAAGAAGATTTCCCAGTATTTCCAAGCCCTGCGCTGTAAACACTGGATACTAAAAAATATCTATTGTACCTTCCATGAAATAATAATGTGGTAAAATACAGGCATCGCTTGGCAGCCGCAGATTCTATGAAATGTATTTCATAACATTTATTGTTTTTTATTTCATTTCATTTTTTTTTTTTTTTCATTTTTCAATATTTTTGTTTTATTATAGTTTGTTTGTTTTTTGATACCTTTGCATGGATTATTAATTGTCTAAATTGTATTTATTGAAAGTAATTTTGTAAATAATCACTTCATTTAATTTGAAACATTTATCCATCCATCCATTTTCATCCCCTTAATCCATTTCTGGGTCGGGGGGATGGCAGTCAGAGCTGCACCCGCTACACCAGTCGCAGGTGCAGGTGGTGAGTCCACAGGAGCTGAGATCTTTCAGGCAAAGTGGGGTCAAGTGTCTTGCCCAAGGACACAACGACAGCTGTCATCAGTGGGAGTCAGGAAATACAGTAGGTCCTGTGGTGGGCTCGAACCCACAACCTTCAGGCCCAAAGGCTAATGCTCTACCAACTGAGCCACTGTTGCCCCCTGAATTTGTAGAACAGGTTTCATACCTTCAAATGTTTTTGACCATTCAAATCAAACATAAATGAAGAAAAAAAAAGACAAAGCCGTTAGATTATTACTCCTCATGCACCTGTTTGTTGGTCTGGGCCTCTCTCAGTCCCAGTCCAAACGGCAGGGAGCCTGTGTAGCGCGGGGGACAGGGCAGACAGTAGTACCCAGGGTCAGTGTTTATGCACTGGGACACACACGCTCCGTCCACCTCACACTGAGAACACACACAGACTGAATGTCAGACCATTACCAGCTCAGGAAATCACATAACAAATCAAGTAATGCTTGTTTATTTTCATAAAAATTATCAATAGATTCAAATCACATCACCAATCAAATTAGCGGATTAGCATAGTCATTAGCATATACATTAGCATACATATTAGCTTACTCATTAGCATAGTAGCAGTGTTGGGGCGTGACAAAATACATGCAAATCAGATAGGATAATACATACATGTGGGAAAGTTACTCTATAATCAATCAACTGTATCAATGTAAAACGATTCAGAATATTAAAATATGATTGCACCAGGTAATGCAATAAGATACAAAATACATTATAAAGCAAATATTCCGTAACTAAATTCATTTTCACTAATATTGGATCACACACACAAGTAAAAATAACACAGATATTCTAATTAACGTTTTTTACTATAATCTTATTTACCAAACTCTGCTAAATAGTGAGCTATGTAGGAACTAAAATTTGTTCTTTGTAGGAATTATAATTGAATAACTTTGTTCTTTGGCTTACAATCACACACACATCCTGGGACATGCATACAGGCAACGATAAAACATGTCTGAATAAATACATTAGCTTAACATTAGCGTACAATTACTGTAATCTGGACATTGTTGCTAAATAGTGAGCTGTGTAGGAATGGCTGTTGTTGCTAAATAGTGAGCTGTTTTCTTATGTGAGATTTATTCTTACACAGAGACTATGTTACTCTATCAGTCGGTAAACAGTTACAACATTTTATTGTGTTATGTTTTCTTATGCATATTTAGGTTTTTATCTTATTATAATAGCTTTTATTTAAAGTTGGCAGACTTATATATTTGAATGTGTTGCTTTAATCTGTGCACCACTTTGGAAACATGTTTTATAAAATGTGCCATATAAATAAAGTGGATTTGATTGGAACATTAACCTGCTTCATTCAATTTTGATTCAATGGATTTGCAGCCTAGTATGTACAAAATTGACTTTCTTTCTATAATCAGCTGGTGTGGTTTGTATACAGGTGGATTCTATAGCCTGGCAGTAAACATGTATACAGGTGCATATATGAGTACCATCATACAGTAACGTCACCTCGTTCTCGTCCTCACAGTGCGTCCCGTTGCCTCTGAGGCCCCGAGGACAGGGGCCACACTCCCAGGAGCCGTTAGAAAGAGAGGAGCAGCTCACTCCAGGGAAACAAGGCTTGGACTGCTCACACACATCTGAAAACACACATAAGCAAAGTTAAATGGACTGTATGGACTACACACAGTTGCATTACTTTGTGGCTTAAAGGTTCTGCGCCCCAGCTTTAATGTATCCTTTGTAATGTTATTTGAATCCTTGTTTGAGACCAGAACGAAACCGGAGAGAGAGATTAGAGTGAGACAAGAGAGGGAGGGACCAGAGAGAGACCAGTGAGAGATAATAGAGAGATTAGAGAGAGACCAGAGAGAGACCAGAAAGAGACCAGAGAGAGACTAGAGAGAGACTAGAGAGAGACTAGAGAGAGAGATTAGAGAGAGACCAGAGAGAGACCAGAGAGAGACTAGAGAGAGAGATTAGAGAGAGACCAGAGAGAGAGATTTAGAGAGAGACCAGAGAGAGAGAACGTAGAGAGAACAGAGACAGATTTGAGAGAGATTAGAGAGAGACCAGAGAGAGACCAGAAAGAGACCAGAGAGAGACTAGAGAGAGACTAGAGAGAGACTAGAGAGAGAGATTAGAGAGAGACCAGAGAGAGACCAGAGAGAGACTAGAGAGAGAGATTAGAGAGAGACCAGAGAGAGAGATTTAGAGAGAGACCAGAGAGAGAACGTAGAGAGAACAGAGACAGATTTGAGAGAGATTAGAGAGAGACCAGAGAGAGACCAGAAAGAGACCAGAGAGAGACTAGAGAGAGACTAGAGAGAGAGATTAGAGAGAGACCAGAGAGAGAGATTTAGAGAGAGACCAGAGAGAGAACGTAGAGAGAACAGAGACAGATTTGAGAGAGATTAGAGAGAGACCAGGGAGAGAGATTAGAGAGAGACCAGAGAGAGAGATTAGAGAGAGACCAGAGAGAGACAAATATTGCTAGAAAATGACTTCTGTGTGGCTAGTTTTGATTAGAAAACATTGTCCAGATGCTTTTCTTCACTATATCTCACCATATCTACAGAATGCCTCCTCTACAGACTCCCTGGAAAGCTATGAATGAATCTCTCTCTCTCTCACTCACTCTCTCACTCTCTTTTTCACTCACCTACGGGACATGGCTCAGAGTTGCAGGCCTCGTAGTCCACCCCCTCGCCGGCACAGGGCTTCCCTCCGTGTTGGGGGGCGGGGTCAGCACAGGCCCGGTCTCTGCTGGACAGTCCACCTCCGCACGTGTGAGAGCAGTGGGACCACTCCGACCAGCTGCTCCAGCCGCCCGCAACTGCCATTCACACAGTAGGAAGCCCGGAGTTTACCACAGCAAGAGGGTTCGCGACACAACAGGGCTCAGACAAACACTGTCATTTATGTGCATCGGGCTGTACTTATGTTATTGATGTGTTTAGACTGGGGACTGGGATACAATATGTAGGTAGTTAAAGCTTTAATCCAGTACTACTTACTTACTTCTGTCTTTTTCATATTTCTGGTACAAGCTATAGGAGTTTTCACGCTATGGGAAATCATATATTAATGTCTTAAAAACCAATCCAATTTAAATGTGTACCAGCCAAAAGAAGCTATTTTCAAACTCAGGGAAAAATGCAACTGTGCTTAAATGGATTGAATGTCCAAATTAATACAAAAATCCAGTTTCCTTCATTTAAGAAATATTACACATTACTTTTGGCCATTAAGATTATAGAATGTGAAATAATATCCTTAATCTATCTATCCATCCATCTACATTTCTAACTGTCTATCTGTCTATCTGTCTATCTATCTATTTAATTGTCTTGCGATTATTGTGTAGCCATAAAACAAAGGATAATCTTCCCTAAAAAGTGAGTGCGGAGCTGGGGGGGGACTCACTGGGACACGGGGGTTTGGTGCAGGCCTGGTTCTCCCTCTCCGCTCCACTGCAGCCTCCCCCTCCTCCCCCTCCTCGCCCTCCTCCCCCTCCTTCTCCCCCTCGGCCTCCCCTCTGGGTCTGGGGGCTGTCACAGAGACGCAACCGAGTCTTGTTCCCCTCTCCACAGCTAACGGAGCAGGACGACCAGGGAGACCAGTGACCCCAGCGGCCTGTAGGGGGCACTGCGGGGAGAGAAAGGGAGTCAAGTTAATTCATAGCACGCTTTAACAGGTTACAGTCACTCACATTCACGGCATTCACCGAAAGGTTTATTTAATGACTGCAAATAAAATAGTCCCCAAAGGATTTCCCGTGGCTATGCAATAACAGTTACGCTAGCTAACCAACTTCAAAACTTGAACTCTGCAAATGCGTCCAAAAAAGTTTACTTCATGTTAATGGTTACTTCCGGGTTTACCACAAACAATTTTTGGTGTAGTAAAACAGTATTATTGTCATCAAAACATTATCAGATCATTCTGAAAACCTCTGTGCACCTGTGTTAATAATGTATATTTTAAACGTCTTCTCCCATTAACATTCAAATGTGTTGATTTATTGTTATTCGTGTCTATTGAGCGTAGCTAGCTCCGATAGCTTCTCCCGCAGAGACAGTAGTAATGACGAAGTGGCCGGACTACTTGCGAGTAATCTTCACCTGAAATACAAGCACAGATTGCGTTTCCGTGGGCAGCGTTCATTATTGGTTTGAGAGGTCCGTTCGAGCGTCAGTTGGTAGAGCATTGGCCTTTGAGCCCGAAAGTCGTGGGTTGGAGCCCGCCACAAGAACTTCTCCACCGACTCCACTGATGTCTGCTGTTGTTGTGTCCTTGGGCAAGACACTTAACCCACTTTACCTATAAGGAGCGTGGAAGTGATGTTCACTGCTTGCCTTGATGTGTATGTGTATGAATCAAACTGAAATTTCCTCATTGTGGAACGAATAAAAGACCCTCTTTTTCTTATTATTTCTTTTGAAATAATAATCTGTAAAACGTTTTGAAATTACATTCAAAACAATGGAGCATTCTACTGCTGCTGTGAGGAGCAGCAGGACGCTAGTAGTAAGAGGAGAGAGATAATGTATATTGTGGTATCATAAAACAAAAGAAAGACATTGTAAATAGGAAACAGTCTCTTCTTTCTAATTCACCACAAACTCTAAAATCCTGCTTAAATTTTATCGCTGTTTGAAAGTTTGCTAGTTGGTTCTCTTCGAAACATCACAATGAATCATTTGAAAAACCAATGCTACAACACCACCAGCAGCAGAGGTGCAATAGTAAAGTGCTATGTGCCAGTGGCGCAGTAGCAACGCTGCCTCTAAAAGCAGTCGTGATTGTGATAATGATCTAAGTGGCGGTTGGTCGAGGCCCCAGCTCCAGTCTCTTTAAACTCAACACCAAACGATAGCAATCAGAAAGTTTGAATGGAAAATCCTCACTTGCCAAAAGCAGCGAGAGTCACATGTTTAGAAAAACCAGATCTCTATCGCTCTTTGCAAAAGTCCGACGTTTATGTTTATGCTCGCTGGCACTTGTTGCGTGTTTTTCCCGAGTGAACTTGACTGCGACGTCGGGAGACATGCCATTTTCACGAACCGTTTTCAACACTTCAACACGCGACGGTATATTTTAGTGACGTGCAGTTGCCGTAGAAGAAAAGGGTAGAAATGTCAACTTAGAAAAAATCCCAGTGCTGCAATAGATAGCACAAAATATAAGATAAGATAAAAGTTTATTCGTCTCTCACTGGGGAAACTTCAATGTCATAGTTGCTCACGCTACAGCCGAAGAGAAGGAGAAAGAAGAATACTCAGATTATGTACGTAAAAAACCCTATCTATGATTTAAGATATTTATGTATATATGTATTTGGATCCCCATTAGCTCTTTCACAACTGGTCGCTAGTCTTCCGGGGGTCCACAATACTGTATATTTGAATAGCAAGAAGGTCCTGGGTTCGGTTCCACTTCCAGGCCTTTCTGTGTGGAGTTTGCATGTTCTCCCTGTGTCTGCGTAGGTTTCCTCCAGGTGCTCCGGTTTCCCGTACCTCTAAAAACATGTGCAATATGTCTGATTGTAAAGAGTTTTTTTTGGCTTCTGTGTAGAGAATGGAAAAATATCTGAACTCTGATTATTGTAAAGCGCTTTTTATATACCGCATCTCTGCTATATAAATAATAAACATGACTTACTTCATTACCATATTCGTTTCTTACTTTTTCTGTCGCACTTGACTTTGGTACAGCTGCGTGTTTGCACCGAGGGCCCAGAGCAGGTGGAGCTGATCCCGTTGCAAGAGCGCCCCCTCTGTTGGCCTCCGCGACCGCAGGACACCGAGCAGTGAGTCCACTCAGACCAGGCGGTCCAGCCGTCCTCAGAGTCTGCACCAGACAACACCATTCAAAGTATAAATGAATGAATGAATGAATGATGTTTTATTTAGTTCACTTACACATTTATACACAGAGTTACACAGCAGTAACTTCACAGCAGATAGACTGAGAAGCTGTCGGCTGAAGCTAATGCATTAGCATTAGATTAGATTTACAGAAGCAGAAGTAAAGATTCTGAGTTCATCCAAAGTGAGGTTTTATACTTGGAAAAGTTTATTAAGTTAATCTGCGCATCCATTCCATAGATCAACCAATCTTACAGATAAACAAGATTTTATTACTTTACTTTATGAACACGTCTTAAGCATGTTTTAATATTGTGATGAATAGTGACCCATGGCCTACACAGGTGGACAAACGCAAGACAAAATAGTACAAATAATCTGGCCTTGAGGAGCTCAAAAAGCACCACAAGGACTGTTTAAGTTAAGGTTGTTTAAGTTGACTGGCGCCTGGGTGCGGCCTTTTCATGATTTCAATATATAATGTATCTGTGTCTCTTGTTCTGTCTGATGTTCATCAGTAGGAGTAGTGGTTTATTTTCTTCGGACATTTTGAACATTAGATCTTAGGCCACATTTTTTCAAAGATCTTAACATTTGAATAATAAAAAATAAAAAATTGTGCATAAAATGTGTATTAAAAATTGCATTTATCAATAGGGCATTACTAATGACTTATTCATAATAAGTAGAATATTTATATTGAAGATATATGTATATTTTATTGAAGATATATGTATATTTTATTGAAGATATGCAAATCAGGGCTATTATTTGGACAGTTTTTTTCTAATATTGTTCATGTGTGATTTCTAATTGAGTTTGTGGTCTATAGTCACTCCCAGGAACTTCTTTTCACAGACTAAAAAGTCAGTTTAAACAACAAACACTCATCCAGGCTCATCCAGGTGACACTGGGATCCTATACGTTGCCGCGGGTGACGCAACTGAGAGCAACGCAACGAGAGACTACCGCAGAATGTCTGAGGTAATGAAGGGCAAGTTATAGTGTGGACTCAAACTGCTCTCCAGTCTTGTATTTTCAAATCACTATATATTTCTTGGAATTCATGTCACACATAATATTGCCATGTTGACAACGATCCCATATCCACGGCAACCCCCCCAGGGTTCCCCATCATTCTCTTGTGGGAACCCATTACTTATAATACGTTCACATAATCTTGAGTGTAAGAGGGAGTCACTTTTTGTTGGTGGCGTTGTATTGCATTGGAAGTAATACAATGTGAAATTGAGATAGAATAAATTTGGAATTAACAATTAAGACACAACAAATCAATGGTGCCCTTTTCTAACAAACTAACAAAATTAGTTTGTTAATTTGATCTATATTGTCCATCATTCATTCAACATTATTTCCTTGTTGTTGTCATGTTTTTTACAATCTGTGAGCCAATAATTAAACCTCATAATAACTACAGGCTTGATCTATCTCACTGCTTGTAATTAGTCTGCCATATATTAGTTTCATCATGTAGAATTAATTACAGAAGTAAATGGACTTTTTCACAATATTCTAAGTTTCACCTGAATAGTTCCTGTCTTTTGGTTTTAAAGTAAGGTTCACTAGCATAAGTGGTGGCGCCAACTCTGTGTGAAAGCCAGATCCCGTTAGATCTATGAAGCAAGGCAGTGCAGTGTCTGGATAGTACCATGATGGGAGACCTGTGGGAACACCAGGTGCCACAGTGGGCGGCTGCGGCTGTAAAGTGCCAAACTGTCGCTGTATTCTCAAGCAAAACCCTTCAGAGTCTGGTGTGTGTGTGTATTATTGGTGGTGGTGGGCGAAGGGGCTGATGGCACATACTGGTTGCCTCGCTTCTGTCAGTGTGCCCCAGGGCAGCTTAGGCTACAGTAGAAGTTTATCACCATAGTGTATGGAGTGAAAGAATAATGACACGTGAACTGTCTTTGAGTGTCCAAAAAGTACTATATAAAACCAATACATTATTATAATTTACCAGAATGCATTGAATTGAATAGAATTACTAAGTCATTATGAAATATGTTAATACTGTCTTATACACTCACCGAGGCACTCAGGGCAGCATTTGTCGTCCATAAAAGTGGGGGAGATGCAGGACACCGGCGCACACGTCTCATGCTGACACACCACCTTTCCCTCCTGTCACACAACCACACGTTTCAAAGTCTCACGTTCACTGTTGTTAATAACTGCTCATCCGGAGCTCGTTACTCCGCTCCAGATGTTGTGCTAAGTGTCTTTTCCCTGAGCCAGAGCTTTGTAATGTGTTTCCTGTCAAATATCAACAAGATCATGACAAAGGAAAACAGATGTAATTTGAAAGAAATCATTTACATTATGAGAAGAAGGTAATCGCATCATTTCTACAGCTGCTTAGATATCCCTAATTGACTTGACTTTGTTTACAATAAAAATGTATTCTGGATTTAATGAAGAGAAACTGAAATTAATTAGTAGAACATGTGTTTCGATGTATGGTAGAGCCTTCTCGAAAATTGATTAGATTGAAAAGTCTCAAACAATCTAAATCTCTGAAGAAATTAAAAATGATAATGTTTACGGGGCTACATTTTATACTCAACAAAACAAATTTGAAATCCTAAAAATTCTTGGTAGAAATGTTCCTAAATATTTTGGCTTTAACCTAGAACTAGAGAAACAATTTTTTGGTTTGTTGACAGATACACAGACCAAATAAAAATGAGTGCAGTGGCAAATGAAAGAGCTAAGGCAGGGTTCCCGCAGGTTCTTGCCATCAGCATAGAAGTATTACTGCATGTTGTTATAGCTAATGTCATGGTCAAGGGGAAGCATTAAAATTATGAAAGAAAATGGACCAAAAATGGACCCCTGTGGAACACCAAACCCAACAGGGAGCAGGTTGAATCTGCATAAAACAACTCCAGAATTTGTTTTCCTTTGAACCTATATGAAAATAGACAGACACATAAAGTTGTTCTTACCATGCAGCCACAGTAGGTGCAAGGGTCCGGGTCCCATTCCTCCCCCGGGACATAAACACGTCCGTCTTTCAAACAGACCTGCTCCCAGTCCAGACGTCCATCCACTGGGTTGGACACCATATTGCTGATACTTGTGGTGCCGGTTTTGTTGGGTTTCTTTACGTTGGCAGTGGTTCTGGTGATAGTTGTCACATTGTTCAGCTCGGCCATAGTAAAACGCATTTCTTCATTCTCCTTAGCCTGAAAAATGAAAAAGTAAAAATATAGAATATAGTTTCCAAACGTACACAAGAAACCGGTTGACTTTGCAACTATATTGTGCACAAACATTTTTCCAGTTAGATGTATTACTTTTGAATAGACCGAGAGCTGGTCAAAATGCGTTAATGTTCAAATTCAAATGTTTTCTTCCTGTTTGAACTCACCACTCTTTCCAGTTCGTCCAGTAGGTTGTTGGTGACCAGCCGCAGTCCGTGGATCTCGGTGAGGAGTCCGAGTAGATCGTCACAGGGCTGTCTGCAAACCTCTGCCCCACCCACTCCTGAATTATAATAATGATAATGTTAAAATAAAAAAATAAAAGCACTATTTCTTATTCGAAGATAATATCTACCTATACAATTTAGTATGGCACTACTAAACTGCCAAATGTGGAGGAAGCTTTATTTTCAGTCTTTTTCTCAAAGCTAGGGTGTCCAACTTTGTACTTACGTTAAAATGTTTAATAAATCCCTCATTCTCCAAACCTTTTGGTTCTAGTTTATTTGGCCTCTGTCACATCTTTGGATCAGCTTTCTCAGACAGAAAAGGGAGAACCACCTTCACGCATCAATCAGATAAACTCAAAGTATGAAACAGTGACTCACTCTTGGGCTCTTTGTAAAAAATGGTAGCATGGTAGCATATATTAATATATGCTATATAAGATTGACTAGAATAATTCATCAATTTGCCAAAAGATATCCAATTCAACAAAAGTTAAGACCACTACTTCATATATATATAACTCATATAAAAACAAATTCTCATGAAAATCACATATTGATGAAGTTTCCACAATCAAAGTCAATCAAAAAGTATTAAACATTTCTTGATTTAGTTTTGGAATAAATCACATATCATTCATATCAATTATCATTCATATCAATTATCATAAATATCATGTTTTTTTTTTACCTGCCAACACAGCTGCTCCATAAAAGAATATTAAAATCCATGGCATTGTCAGTCCTGTCCACAAACCACATTGACAAGAATTAATCAAACTTTACAACTCCACTTTTACTCTTCTGTCTGGCAAATTGTAAAAAAAAAACATTAAAATCTGCAAACCTGGTTCCCTCTTTGGAAAATCCCCCGTACAAAATACTTGTTAGTATTGTTGCCAGATCAAGCTGCGATGGATTGTCCTTGTTTTGCTTCTTTCTTCTTAAATCCAGGCGTTAAAATATTTACTAATGCTGAACAGTGATCCATAGAGAAGCAAGAAAAAGGCAAAACTTGTGCACGCAGACAGCTGTTCTGGGAAAATTCTTGGAAAGAGCAAATGGTCAGGAATTACCTTGTGTTTGGCTCCGCGGATGCATTTCTCCCATAGAGTAAAGCACAGCTGGATTTTCTTTGGAAGTTTTAAAGTTGATTTTATTTTAAATTTTTCAGGAACACATCACTTCTTCTTTGCTCCGCGCTGCAAACTAAAAGACACACGCAGGTTTTGGCTGTCCAAGTTTTCCGATATTCGAGAAGCAAGAGGAAATTGGCATCGGTGAAAAATCCCAAGTGTAAATGAGGCATTACAGACAAAAATGTACGCAGACCGCAAACCAGTCTTTGGAAATGAGGCAATTTTTTTTTGTTTGTTCAAATATATGTTTATTTTTGTATGGTAAATAAATCCCCAATGTTGTTTCTCTTCAATGATATACTTTAAACATATTATTGTCATGGTTTAGATTCATTTCCTGTTTTATTTTGTAATTTGTTATATCCCTGTGTCTGCTTTGGTTGCTCTTCCTGTGTGATTACCTGCCCTGCCCTCCAGCCTTGCCCTCATGTGTCTCACCTGTTTCTCGTTAGTCTTGTATTTAGCCCTGTGTGTTCCTTCACTCCCTGTTCCATCATTGTCATTCCTCGTCTGTTTTAGTTCGGTCCTCGTTCCCTGTGTTTTTGGAAGTTTTGGTGTTTGCTTTTTATTAAATCCATTATTTGTTGCAGTTTTGCATTTTGGGTCTCATTTAATTTCACACACGTGACAGAATGATGGAACCACTCAAGGCCCAAGCAGACTGCTTTATTTTATTTTTTCTCATTTCTGGCGTTTATCCCCAACTGGAGAGTCGCTGCAGGAGTTGGAAGCATCCCTCTCTTGTCTTTGTCCTGGACCACTGCAGGACACTTTGTTCCGTCCTGGGTGGTTGCAGGCTTCCGTCTGACCTGGCTCCGCTGGACATCGTTTCTCCATCCAGGGGGCCTTCCGGTTTTCGTACCTGCTTCGCTCCAGTCCCCGCTCCAGCTCCTGCACCAACCCTGCGGGGTTCCAGCTCCCCGGTTTCACGTCCCGGCCCCGGTTTCACGTCCCGTTCCCGGTTTCACGTCCCGGCCCCGGTTTCACATCCCGGCCCCGGTTTCACGTCCCGGCCCCGGTTTCACGTCCCGGCCCCGGTTTCACGTCCCGGCCCCGGTTTCACGTCCCGGCCCCGGTTTCACGTCCCGGCCCCGGTTTCACGTCCCGGCCCCGGTTTCACGTCCCGGCCCCGGTTTCACGTCCCGGCCCCGGTTTCACGTCCCGGCCCCGGCTCCACGTCCCGGCCCCGGCTCCACGTCCCGGCTCCGGCCCTTCGGTCCCTCTCCTCCCTCCCTGTTTGTTTTTTTTTTTTTTTTTTTTTTTGGACGTCTGGGATCCGTCCCTTGAGGAGGGGGTACTGTCATGGTTTAGATTCATTTCCTGTTTTATTTTGTAATTTGTTATATCCCTGTGTCTGCTTTGGTTGCTCTTCCTGTGTGATTACCTGCCCTGCCCTCCAGCCTTGCCCTCATGTGTCTCACCTGTTTCTCGTTAGTCTTGTATTTAGCCCTGTGTGTTCCTTCACTCCCTGTTCCATCATTGTCATTCCTCGTCTGTTTTAGTTCGGTCCTCGTTCCCTGTGTTTTTGGAAGTTTTGGTGTTTGCTTTTTATTAAATCCATTATTTGTTGCAGTTTTGCATTTTGGGTCTCATTTAATTTCACACACGTGACAATTATTCAGCGATGAGTATGCACTGGACAGTTTTACGGCTTTGGTTTTGCGTGATTGAATAAATTGCTAAATAAGTGGCTGCTGGAAAAAGGCTAGCTGAAATAAAGTCATTAGTTTTCCTTGTCTTTTCTCTGTGGTTTTAGCCAAACTGGTCTGGCACGAGGCTTCACCAAACCACCAATCGGCACAAGCTTGGTTAGAGCTGGATCAATTTCAGAGGAAAGTATATTACATTTACATACAGTATATATATTCATGAATAAAGTATAACTACATATATCTGGAGCTTTGTCTGGTTCTGAGACGAGCTCCATCAAAGTCATTGATGAGCTCAAAAACATTTTAGAAATAAAAACAAAAACATTTTAATCATGTTCATCAACTCTCTTTTTCTCTGTATGATTTCGAAATTCAGTCTGTATCATTGATCATGTTGAGAATGGATATGAAAACTATCATTGGGGTAAATAATAGAATTGGTTTTGATGCTTAGGTATTCAAATTCATTTTAACACTAACCCTAGTGGAAGCTGACGATGATAATGACATGATGACATGAAGAACCGAGCCCCTGTTGAGATGTTGATGGGGAGGAGGAGGTTTGTGGCATGAGTTGAAGCCACAACTGTGTATACTGTTTGAATGCAGATCATTGGCAGCGGCACTGGTCTATGTTGTTGGGAATGGGCTGGAGTGGAGGCCAGCGATAGGATAGAAGATTTGGATATGACCCTAACATCCACAACTATAAAGTCCTCGTAGAGTGCAAACCTCCAACAAGAGGTGCAGTAACGTTCCTAAAATCTGGATCCAGACGTGATCCATGTCAACTAAAAAAAGTAATAATTTGATACTTTTGCCATTATCTGTGAGGGTTTCTGAAAATGTCTCACTATTTTTCAACAATAAGTGACCATTTAAGTGAAATAAGGTCAAATAACAAAATCTATAAACAACAAAACAATGGAAAAAGCATGTTTTGACTCTTAAAAATATCACATATTTCAATTCTATTCATCGGTGGGGTTGCTGTGTGATTTTGTTTGTGAACCTCAGACCGATACGTTTAAGAACCACTGACTTTTACCATTGTAACCAATGCATTACAACTGAACTCTGCTGCCCTCTGCTGGAAGTTTTTCTAAATTCACCTGAGCCCAAGCATGATTGAAAATGCATTTTTTACAGTCAGAGAGTGCTCTTACAGTTGTTAAACACACCATTATTCTTGTAAAGCTGCCAAATGTTGATTTAAGGAAGGTAAAAATCCACACATAGCTACACAACATCACATGCTACTCACTCAGACATTTATCAGTGGATTGAGAACCTATGTTGTTTCGTTTGGGTAATAAGGCCAACTAACGTAAGACAAATGGTGAAAATGCACATAAAGCAACCTATAAATCTGCAACAGGACGTAAATGGGAGTATTCCTGTTTTGAAAGTGGCTGAAGTGGGTCAGAGCAGCGTGAGGACAGGACATAACTCATGTACTTGTGTCTTCTTCCAAACTCCTGAAGTTTATTTGGTTCAGCTGACGCAATGTAAAAAACATACCTCCTAAAGTCCTCCACTGTTCCTTCACTTTAACTGTTTACTGTCTTTCAGAACACCTCAGACATTCAAGAGTTACATAATATAACTTTAAATTGCATTTGTACCAGGATTTTCTGGTACAGAGTCCTCCACTTGCTCTTGTTAATAACTCTGGGATAACGCAGGAAGGTCTGAGATGATCCAGGACATAACATTTATCGACATTGGTCATCCATCCCCTACGGACTAATGGCTCCTATTTGTTTGTTATTTTCAAACCGTTTGATTTTTTGATCTGTGTTGGGCAAATCTACAACTTTGCAAGGGCTATACAAAAATAAATTGGTAACAGTCTCCTTTTATAGAAACTTTTCTGTCTTGTCTAATGGTGTCTGTCTGTATTCCTTGCTCCAGTGTGGACCTAGAGTCTGAATAAAGAAATGATGATGATGATGATGATGATGATAATTAGAGGTCATATCACCCCGAACTATAATGTTGAAAAGGAAACGGGAGCACCTGGAGGAAACCGACGCAGGCACGGGGAGAACATGCAAACTCAAAACAGAAAGGCCCGAGGTCCATATTCTACATCATGAAAGAGTTATCGTCATCACATTATTTGGTTGCAATATTTTACAGAATAAGTACAAAATTACCAAAAAACTACAAATGACTTACGTAATGATTTTGTATTTTCTTATTGAGACATACATGGCTCAAAACTGAACAATGTATTAACTTTGAAATGTATTTACTTTGGTTATCAAATTCAACACCACGCACACGCCCAAAAGCCCGAAAACCCAAAGTCCAGTTTCACAGTCCATTGTCAGTCCATTTGACACTTCCTCTCGACCCCTCCTCATGTTTGGTCATGACCAGAAATGTCCACTCTGTTCCTGTTTCGAAACTCTTCTCTGTCTGTGTTTCCGACGCCAAACAGCAGCAAGCCGTTCTCCAACAGCGACACAAAGCTGAACTTTCAAGTCGCAAATGTACCAAGATGTCACCTTCAATTCTCACGTCCATTTAACTTGAACAAACGGCCAGCGCCCTCCGTGGGCCTGCGCGCTTTGATCCTTGCAAATCGGCCCGTGATTATTCGTCAGCAACTTCCGGTGCAGGGGGGGGTTTGTGTGGAGGGTCGTTTTGTAGGTGTCGATGGCTGTATGGAGATGGCGATGGAGTGGGTTTTCTGTCCCACAATGGAAAATAGGTGGATTTTGTTGCTTTGAAGCTTTGGCAGGGATGTGGCATTTTTCTCAAAAACAAGAAGCACATTTGTTAATACATTTCAGAATCAAAACATAAGGTGAAGGGTAATTCTAAACCAAGAAAACTTTGACAAAGGAAAACGAAGAGGACACACAGAACAAAGAAGGACACAGACAGACAAAGAAACACATGGCCAGAGGACAAAGGACCACATGGCCACCCAAAATGGCGGTCTATCTACTTTTTGCAATGTCCAATTCCAAATGTTGAGTAATTAGAGGTTTTAAACATCCAATTTCAATTTAGCTTATTTAGATGTCTATAAATGTCCAATTTCAGTTTAGAAGTAATGTAGAAGTTCAGTCTGAAGTAATTCAATTCTAACACATTCATCATACAGGCGTAACTCTGCGTTACCCTTTTGAATGAAACCCCGTTCATTCGAGCTCTGTAAAAGTCCTTGACCAAAGGCATAACTCTGCGTTATCCTAAATGAATGCCCCATTCATCGAGCTCCACACTACTCTCTTGAATTAGTCCCGGACATAATTCGTAGTGTAATAAAGTCCCAGACTCAGGCATAATTTCTGCGTTTTCCTAA